GGTCACCCAGTTGGAGTCGGACCCAGAGTCGGAGTCGGAGTCGGAGGCGTCTCATATCGGTCATGTCGCAAGCTCAGTTTTTTCCCCGCCTCCCTCTATTTTTTTCCGTTCATTAATTGCCAACATTTCATATTTTATTTCAACTTTATTTCTGCCCCGTCTCTCGCGCCCTTTTTTCCATTTGTTTTTCAATTATTTTTGTGGCCGTGGTGTGTGTGTGTTTTATATTTTTATTTTTTGTTTGGTCTTTTCATTGGAATCAAGCACGCTTGTTGTCGCCAGCGTTGTCCGTTGGTTGTAGTCCGGCTATTATTTATTTTTTTCCTATTTAATGTATTATTTTTACTCGACTGAAATTCCGCTGGCTCAGCTCGACTTGGGTTTCGGGTTCGGACACCATGGCATAAACAGAGCATCGAGTGTAATGATGATGATTATTATTGAATTTTGTACGCCAGCGACGATAACACTTGACACGGTCCATAGATAGTACAGGGCATCAGGCCGGCGCATGATAAGGATAAGGAGAGCTGGACTTTGGTCGGAAATAGGGGAGTGGGGGGGGAGGGGGAGCAATGCAGCCCACCCAAGGTGATCCTCATACCGGACACGAGCCTGACATTACGTATACGCCACATAGACATCTCTCTATGTAGAGCAGAACGAGGATGCAGCATAAGAATTTGTTAGTTTGGATGTCCAACATCCGCCTACAAATTCACATCTCATATTTATATCCACATCTTTTTATGGCCCATCAAATGATGCGAAGCCACGATTTGGAGAATCTGCAGTTAGCACTTAATTAACATTCGGCCCCTTTGACTTCCCCCCAGATTCGAAATCGGGCTCCGATGATTTATAATGTGAGAAGATTGCCTTACATTTTGAAGTTTCGAGTTCACTGTGGGTCAACCTTTTGTTACTGCCATCAGGTGGGCACATTTGCATACAAGACTGAGACTGAGACTCAGGAGCGGATGCTGAAATTGTGGGAATTTTGAGATTGGGAATTAAGAATTGGAAAAGTGTTTGGCTGGGGATCAGAACAAAGTGAGTTGGCGATAAGGCTAATGAGAATGTTATAACAAGCTAAAGATTATTTGAAAACAAATTATGGAAAGCTTAATATTTATATTATAGATTTCTTTGGTAAATATTCAATAAAGTTGTAGGAGAAGCTTAAAAACCTTTTTTTACTTAGTATCTGTGAAATTTTAAATAGATTCTCGACCTTCTTGCTATGTTCTAAAGTTATTAAGAGGTTAAATCAATAAATTGTAAGCCTTATAGAAGGTATATTAAATATATACTTAAAGTGTTAAAGGTGAAAAAGATGTTATCATTGAAAAAGAGTTATAAAGAAACTCAAAACAAGTCAAAGAGACTTTGTACGAAAACTCTTGTCTTAAAAAACAGTTTAAAGTCCGCTCCCCTTTTTTCTTTAAACATAATCTTTCGCTTTACTGCCATTTCTTACCTCATCCGCCCCAGGGGAAAAGTGTTTTTATCGCCTTTCCACACTGAGTTTCCGAGAAGTTATGAAATTTCAATTGCCATGATTCACTGCGGGGTAACGAATTCTCAAATTATTCTAGAATTATTCACCGATCTCGTTTCGCTTTGAAATTCATTTGACTCGGCCGCCCCAAAGTGTGGCATTGACCTTTGGCTTACTACAAGTATCTAAATCTATAATTGTATCTATACCAATATATCTCTATCTGCTATTTGTATGCTCATCTTGAAGGGAATAAAAATTGACACAAATTGCCAAGACCGAAGCGCTGCTAACCCACAATTGGCATCTGGAACTAGGGATTGGGATCTTCCATATGTCAAGATATGAAGCCAAGCGATTTCCATGGCCTGGCAGTGCTGCTTTTTGTGTTGTGCTCTGACATTGGCAATGTGCAACTGTGTTTTGGGGTAAATGTATTTAAAATTCTTGCAAAAAAAGTGAGTGAGCCGAGGAGGAGGGGAGTGCCTATGCCGCATGTGGAGATCATCTCATCTGGCGGCGTCTCATCTGACGCGATCTGCTGCTGTTTGGCTTGGCTTTGCGCCGAGTTTGTTTTTCAGTGTCGTGAGAACTTTTTCAGCGTGTGAATTGAAAGCGGAGTGAAGGGAAACAGGGGCGGGGCGGGGGAACGGAGCGTTTGGGTTGCGGAAACTCGCTGGGAAGCGAAAGTGTTGCAAGTACTGGGAAAGCAATCAGCAAACACAGCCAACAGGCAGCCAGAAACCAGCAACAAACAGCAGACAACAGACAACAGAGGCGACGACGCAACGGCAATGGCAACAGCAACATTTGTCAGCGTTTTTGCAATTGGCGTGGGTATCAATCGAACACACCCCTTATTCCTCCTCTGGAAAAGGTTAAGAGTTATCTAAAAGCACTAGAAAATCTAAAGAAAGTAAGCTTCTTGCTTGGTATCTTCTAAATTTTTATTTTTGTTATATTTAAGCCTAAGCATGTCAAGTTTTTTTGCCGTGAACTCTTTTGTTCTCCTCTCCTAACTAATCTTTAACATTTTACCTTCATTGCAGGTGAGTTCCCCTCGCAGATGTCCAATCTGAGTTCTCTCTGTACAAATATGTATGTATACACATATGTACGTTCGTGATTCGACAATTAAAGGTTTGTAAAGCAATTAGGCAGCTGAGCTCGTGACGAAGTTTAGCTCAAATCAATTGAATGAGTTTCCCAAAAAAACAAAATACAAACAAGATTCCCCCAACGAGAATGAAATGCCAAACAATTGGAAATTCATTAAGGCCGCTGTGGCAATCTACGCCATATCGTAATCAAATGCAGCATTCAACTTTAAACTGCAACGCCGGCGGCTGCGGCTGTGGCTGCAGCAGCGCAGTCAGCGGAACGCCAACAGCGCAGTCGCAGCGTGGCACAATTGTTTTGGCCAGGCTAACAAAAAAAAACGAGATATATATATATATTTAGACCCCCTCTCTGCTTCCACCCGTTGCCGTTGTCGTGGCGACGAATCCGGGGGATATAACCAACGTCATGCATGAGGGATTTTATGGCAAGAACCGCCGAGTGTGCAAGTATTTGCACTGAGAGAAAAGCCAGGAGGGAGTATCTAATCATTTTTTATGGGAAATATTTGATCTTGTGTATACTGCTTTCACGTTTTATGAATTGTTTTTTCAAACTTAAAGAAGTGAAAATCGCTTTTACATTCTTTAATATATCAACTTGTGGTTATTTTTTATATTTAGGTAATCTTGTAAATCTTTAAATTATTTTCCGAGTGCGTTTTTTTATTTATATATTTTCTGTTAATTTTCTTAAACTCAAAGCTATAATTAATATGGTAAATACAATATTTATTTATTTTGGTCAACTGAAACCAAAGATTATGAACAAACTCTAAACTCTTTGGTATAAGTTACCTAATTTGCCATAATGTTAGAACATATTGATCCTTCAATATATAATATGTAAGTACCTCTATAAGAAGTATACGGTGCAGTATTTCGTGAGGTTAAACTTAAGTTGCTATGCTGTTATCTTGATCTCTTTAAGTTCTTGCATCTCATGAGGTCCTTGCCTCTTTATTCATTATCCTTTTGGAGTGTTCACTTGGATTTTTATATATTTCTATTAAACCCATAAATCCCAAAAGAAGTTTTCTAGTTGTTTTTCTCTGTGTAGATCTGTGTGTGCAACAGATACCCAGCTGGCAGCCAATTGTTGCACTCGACAATGTTGGACAAAAGGCTCACTGCACTTCACTCACCCCTTTTAGCCCTTATTTCGGTGGTGGCGACACCGACACGCATGTCCATTGCCCCGACAAAAGGGAGTCGAGATGCCGCTGTCCCTTGGCCCTTGTCCACTCCCCCGCAAGAGTTGAACTAAAAAGCAAAAACAAAACAAAAAGCAAAACAAAACAAAGCACAGACCAAAAAAAGCGAAGTTGGAAAAACTTAACGCCTGGTTGCCCACATCGGGTGTTCTTTCGCTACTCCCACCCCTCCTGGCTCGATCTCGACTTGGTCGATCCATGTGAGTGCGCACTGCGCATGCGCCAACGCAGGGGCACAGAGGCAGTGGCAGTTGCAGAGGGGCAACATTATCAACAGGCTGAACAATCTATAATATAAAACTTTGATGAATTGCCTATATTGCTCTTTTTAGGGAAAGCAAATAATAATAAGGAAAATTATTATTTTAATAAATTTCTTTGTTTTAAAGGGAAATATATATAAATATATAATCAAAGTAAAAACGATCAGCATTGCGTCGCGTGATTTGCATTCATTTGATTTGTGAAATTTACACCTTTGTACTGACAGCATGAATAATGCTGATAAATCGAATGCTAATCGAAGTTCAGTCCTAGTTTCGAAAAAAGTATTATAGTGGGTTAATCATATGTGTTTTTTAAATTTAATTTCTGTTTAGTTTTTTATTGGCGCTAAGCGAGAAATTGATAAAACAAATAAATTAAATCACTCTGGTCGAAGTTATTATTTTTTATTTACTTAGAGTAAACGAATTTGTATTTGCTGCAGAATATTTGTTGTATTTTTTGTAGTTATTTAATTTTAGTTCATTTTAGTTCAAATATGTCTTTGAACATAAATAAATTAAATATAGGGTTTACCGAAGGCTCAAACCAGTGTACTAAAAATTGTGTGAAACGCCACTTCATCAAAACTTGTGTACTAAAACAGCTTGCTGAATACCCAAGTTTCAATCCACCTCAATTCACCTTCACCTCAATGTAGTTTGAGTATACACTAAATACAAATATATTTTATTTTCCGCCTAGATAGCGCATTTCTGCTTTTCGGTCGAGTCAAGTTTCGGACAATTTAACATAGGTGGCGCCTTTGTGGAAAAATTGGATACTTTTATATAATATATTAAAATAATAGTTAAAAATTTAAAATAATATAATATATATATTTTTATTCAGTATTATTTCTGCTTGGCACCCCTCAATGCTCCAAAATGAGTAAAATGTGCACTAAGAAAACCGCTCGACGACCATTTGAATCCAGCCCATATGCGACATGACATCCGTGAAGACACTGGGACTGCGACACTCCGGGTTGCCATAGCTAACGATGCCAACCTGAACGAATGCCGTTTGACCTCCTATTCGCACCATGTGCCCCATGGGTCCGCCAGAGTCACCGCTGCACGACACGCCCGTGTCATGACCCACACAGATCTGGTTGCTGGCGCATTCCACCAAGTATCTTTCCCGGCACTCGCTGCGATCCAGGCGATTCATATAAATGGACTTGAGGGTGCGGCTAGGTGATCCTGGGGTGTTGCTACCCCAACCAGTGGCCACGAACTGCTGCATGTTCTCTATCGCCGAGCGCAGAGCCATGTTTGTGAGCAGGCATATGGGCTTGACGTGGGCTGCGGGAAGGAATATACTTCGTGATGAATATAATTATATATTGTAGTACAATCTTTAAAATACTTTTATACTCCACACGTCGCGATAGTCGAAGCAAGGCAATATCGTGAAAGCGATTGCTCCTTGAATAGTCCTTATTCCGAATAGCTTTATCTATGTCGAACTCCTCGTAGGGCGGAATGCAATCGGATCCGCTGCAATCGTTGTACGTGGCGGTATCATACTCGCCTAAACGCACAGTCCTGCCAAAGGATGTAGTTAATACCAGTTATTCCTTTAGTTACCTAAACTCCAAATATACTTACAGGGTCTCACCATTAATTATGCAATGGTAGGCAGTCAATACAAATCCTGTAAATATACGTAGATTACTCCTCTGTGTTGACGATAAAGTCCTGAATACTTACTGTGATTGATTAGCGATCCTCCGCAATAAAATCTACCGGATGCATGTAAATATGCCATCCAGGGGCTTTCCGATATGTGCGCTTGATAGTTTGTATTTAGCAGTGCCCTCTGGTCCATTCTACCGCAATTTGGCTCCAAAAATTGCAACTTAACCGGTGTGGCACCCAAAAAGGCACACACGAACAGCGGAAACCAGAACATTTCAAGTGAAGCGTCTCACACAAACTAAATGCCATTCATAAGAGTCGTTTTTTAAACCAGAAAGTGAAAGAGAAACTTATCAGAGCTCAGGCTGAGTGAGCTTATCGCTCGCATTTATTTGAATTCTTTGAAAGCGAGGCTCTTAATGAAGGGGCTTTTATCGGAAATATATTACAAATTATATATTTCAGCGTCACCTCAAACAATTGTTAATTTTTTTATGGATAATGGTTTATGTGCCACAGTATCCAATTGGTGTAGGGTAGCACATTCGTAAAGACAGTGGGTCCATTGCATTGATTAAAGCCATAACTAACCACACCAAATAAAATAATGTGGTTTCCAGCTGCAGTCGGTGCTTTAGCAGTCAAGGGTCCTCCGGAGTCGCCGTTGCAGGTGAAACTATAGGGTTGACCCGCACAGATGTGGGTGTGATCCAGTTGCCGGGAGAAGGTCCTGATGCACTGACTATTATCGTAGTGTTGCAACTCGATCTGCTGCAGGGGGAAACTAACTACTGTGCTGGCCGTACGACCCCAGCCGGTGACATTGAAACTGGGAATACTCTGCACTAGATTCCAACGCCAATTGGAATTGCCTCCCAAGAGCATGCACACCGGCCTAATGTGGACTGCAAGCAAATTGATTAATTCTAAATAATTCTTGTTTTCATTTATGTTAAACTCACCTCCATAGGACACTGCCACATTCAGTCTCATGAGAGCCAAGTCATACTTGTGGTACTCCACAAAGGATCTATGGACAAATGTCTGGCTCACCGTGTACTCCTGTGGCCTGGGAATGCAGCCATCATTTGTGCAATCGAATTGTGTGCCTATGTTGTAGTCACCCAAGCGGATTTTTCTGCAGTGAAAAGGGAATTATATATAGTTTATAGATAGATCTAGGTGAGACATGGTTAAGACATACAATCTCTGGTTGGTTTTGCCCCGACAATGCGCTGCCGTTAGTACATATCCTGAAATGAGATACAGATTATCTGCTGCTCAGTTTAAATACTTTTCCATGATGTGTGTATACTTACGACTGGTTATGAGAGAGCCTCCGCAAATGAAGTTTTTTCCTTCAATTATTTGCGCCATCCACGGATTGGAGAGTATATTGGCATTTTGACCATTAATCACATGGACATTGACTTCCTTGGCACATTGCGGATCCAGTAAGTAAGGTTGCACGGTTTCTGCTCCGGTACTGACCTGAAGGATCGCCAAATATAGACAAACAAACAACACGACTGCATGCACCATTATCAACAGCTTAAGGGAAAACCTCGAACTGAGTGATACTTGGCAAAGCCTGTGCCTTAATAAGAGAGTTGCTTATCAGCAGCTTTCGTTGAAAACATATTTATATATTTAAGTCTGATTACAGACTTTAATTCTTGGAATTCCTGTACATATTCTTTGTTTACTTATTCATTTATATGCTCAACATTGCAATATTTCTAGTTGGTTTTGATTCCTAATATCAATCTTTGATTTACGAGCTTCATTTGTGACTTGGGACTTATCAGGGGAATTCGCTGGTTTTTACCAGCAGCAAGTCAAGGGTCGCTTCTATGTATATAAGTATGTATATTTATCAGGGATTTTTATTAAGATTCTTTTTACACTGTCTCTCCTATTCGAACAATATTCCGGATCCAATCCAAATGTGCCATAACGTTTGTAAAAACAGTGGCATTCTCGCAAATCTGTCCCCCGAAGCTAACAATTCCAAATAGGATCATTATATCCTTGCGATTATATATTATTCTAGCACCCAGGGGACCGCCAGAGTCACCATTGCAAGTACTCGCACCAAAGCGTTGACCACAAATATGATCCCGATCGATGTTCGCATCCGGATACTGCTCTGCGCAGGCGGTTCGGTTCAGATTATATAGCGTTGTCCTTCGGAGTAACGGACTTGATTGTCCAGTCTCTGTCTTGCCCCAGCCATAGACACTGAATTTGACAACATGATCTTCCAGATTGGGAACCGAGGGTCTCAGGAGCACACAAATGGGAAAGATGTTAGCTGCAAAATCAGGACTTTGATACATATATACTTTTCATTTGCAACTTGATCCTTGTACCTGTATATTGGACCCGCGGGGACAGTCTCAATAGAGCTAGGTCATGCCTTTCTTGTTGATAGGCCTGATGGATGAACGTGGCATCCACATCGAATTCCTGGGCTTTGTCTAGGCAATACGAGTGCCTGCAATCCTGCTCCGTCTCTCGATCGTACTCGCCCAAACGCACCTTGCTGTGGCAATAGAGAATCAGTGAATCAAACCCTTTAAAAGCATTTAGTTACTCACAGTGGTCCGCCGCCGAGACAGTGGGCAGCCGACAGAACAAAACCTATGGGATAAAGGTCAGCTGGGTTTTTCAATTCAATACAAAATACTTACGGCTTGTGATCAGAGAGGCGCCACACCGGAAACCCTCCGAACCAATAATAATTGCCATCCATGGAGTGGTAGCTATCTGGGCTACTTGGGCTCCAACCAATTTGTTTCGTTGCGGAGGAAGTCCACAGGGTTCCTCCAGAAATTCACCTGCATCCTGGCCGTGAGATAGCGAAAAGCAGGCCAACACTGCCAGTAATGCCTTTCCGCAGAGCTTCATCTTAGGACTGTGTGGATCAACTGATTGTAGGTTGGGAACTGCCGTTTAGTTGGACCGTGTTCAATTGCCAAGTCAGGAGATAAGACCAAGCGATGATCGACCCCAGCACCCGTAATCTGTACTGAACACCTATGGTAACGAAAACAATTCAGTTTTTTAAATTATATTTCAAAGAAAGAAGTTTGTTAGCTGAATTCCTTTTAGAAAACTAAAATGTAAACATGAATTTACGATTTGGAATATTCCAAACAAAATTGTATGTAGGTGGAGGTGATTGGTGAGGTAAGACATTAGTTGAACTCCAGCCAATGGGAACTCTTGGGGTCTGGCGATGATATTTATTTGTATTTTGACCTCTACCCCCTTGAACGATATCCTTGATCCAGTCTATATGGTACATCACATTCGTATAGACTGCATTCGATGGGCAAGTTAGACCTCCATAACTGGCGATACCCAGCTGGACGACAATGTATGTGCCTGCCGTAGAATAAAAGCCCGTGATTGGTCCTCCCGAGTCTCCCTGGCACGTATTAGAGCTAGAGCCTCCGGCACAAATCTTGGACATATCCCCGCTAATCCCACATACCCGGCGATCGAGTTGCTGTGTGACGCCTTTTTTCAACACATCGCTCGGAAATCCCTCTTCCGTGTCACCCCAACCAGTGACAGTGAAATACGAGGTATCTGCCAAAGGATTGAAGTTGGTCGGCAGACAAACAGGTCGGATATATCCTGCAAAGTAGGTGAGGTTAGTGCATTGTTCAGATTATGGCTAATCTTTCGATTACTTGTATATGTCACTGCCCTGGCCAGTTTGTAGAGGGCTATATCATTGCTGGGATGATTGGGATGATGATCGTATTGTGGATGACTTATCTTTTCAATTGCAGAAATTTCGATGCCATTTACAGTGGATTCCTTCCACCTGAATTCTCCCAATTTGATGGTTCTACAAAATGGTAGCACATATGTTTTAGATTCGATTAAAAGAAGTTTAAAATTTTAATTAAAAATACTTTGTCTCTTTAATTAACTACTTACGTATATTGGTTGTAAGCGCAGTGGGCAGCAGACAATACAAAACCTTCCAGGGAATAAATTATTGTACGAAATCTGTTCATTAAAACTCTGATATACTTACGGGCTGTGATAAGTGATCCCCCACACATGCTTATGCAGCTTTGTCCCGAGTAAGAAGGCACTGAAGTAATACCACCACTTACTTGAATACTCCAATCAATAATAATACTTATTGTAGCACTTACTGGATGGACCACATACGGTCCTGCTGCTAACAAACGCCATCCAAGGATGTTCTAGGACACTTGCCGTTTCACCATTTGCTACTCTACCTCTATATTTATAATCCGCTGATCCGCAATTAGGTTCGAGGAATGCAAGCCGACGTTGTGCATTACCCAGAACCATATTGGAGAGCAGGAAGATGATGATAAGAGCTCCGAAGACCTTCATATTGAAATTTGAACTGAATTTTCTACAGGCTAAACTCAAGCTATATAGCCTTACCATTTGCTGAATTTCTATGAACAGTCGTTAAATATAGACATTTTAATTTGGTATTATTTATTATATTTGAATATGGTAAATTAGGGGCACCTGATAAGCACAGATAGACAGTTTTCCAGGAAATGGAATTTAAGTCAAGATTGCTTTTAGATTCATAATATTATTATTAGAATCACAAAGCGTCTTTGAACTATTGATAGTAGTTGAAAAATTTTAATTACAAATGAAAATCTTTAAAAATTTCAAACTAATTCAAATACGGGTAACACAAGTCATCAAATTGGAATTTAATTTTTAAAAAATTAACCATAAACTCCATAGTTTTGAGGATAATAGACAACAGGATAATTTACATTGGGATAAGTAAGAGTATTTCCATTGGGCAAATAGTAAGTAGGAGAATTTCCATTGGGCGAATAGTAAGTAGGAGAATTTCCATTGGTATAGTAGTAAGTAGGTGGATTCGTAATCGTATAGTAGTAAGTAGGTGGATTGGGAGTGGTATTATCATAATTATTGTGGTTCGGCCTCTGGGTTGGTGCTGGTGTATTGTGACCTCCGCCCCGTCGAATGACACTCGTGATCCAGCTCATATAGTGCATTACATTCGTATATACCCCGGACGTTCGGCAAAGTTGCTCTCCGTAACTGACAATACCCAGCTGAAGGACACGGCTCCTGCCGCCGATGGAATACATGGCTGTGATGGGACCTCCCGAGTCCCCGCTGCACGTGTGGGAGGTGGGGGCTCCGGCACAGATCTGAGACGTGTCCACGTTGGTCCTGAATATGGAGGAGCAAAATGCCCGGCTTTGCTGTGTCAATGTGGTTTTCTTCAGCACATTGCTTCCAGTTCCGTGTTCTGTTTTACCCCATCCGGTGGCTGTAAGATGCGTAGTCTTAGCCAAGGGATTGTAGTTGGTCGGCAGACAGATGGGCTTAATAAAGTCTACAATAAAGGGTGTTGTATCATTCGTTGTGCATTGATTATATACAAGTTTATTACCTGTATACTGAACAGTTCTGGACAATCGAAACAGGCCTATATCATTCTTGATATCACTTCTAGTATTTGTGTATTGCGGATGAGGTATTTGCGCTTCGACAGAAACTTGAATGCCGTTTGCACTGGGCCGTGATCTATCGTACTCGCCCAAGTGCACCGTCCTTTAAAAAGATAGCTAATTGAGATTAAGTCAGGATTCAAGCCTATACTTACGTTGGATGGCCTGTCATGCAATGAGCAGCACTGAGCACAAATCCTACAGAGAATCCATTTTAATAGTTTGTCTCCTTCGAATCTGATTGACTTACGGGCTGTGATAAGAGAGCCGCCACACTCGACATTGCTTATTATTAATGCCATCCACGGATTTCCCAATTTATCGGCCAGTGTACCACCGATTATTCTGTATCTTGAACTACGCCCTCTTGAAATCGTAACTCCGCAATTGGATTCCAGAAATGAAACGGAGTCTTGTCCATTTCCCAAAATCACGCAGGATATCAGGACAATGAGACTTCCAATGATCTTCATATTGTATTTCCGACTAATTTATATAATGGCGACACAAGAGCTTTTATTAATTTTCCATTCTGGTGATAAGCTCTGTTGTCTTGGATTGAAATGGTAATTAATGTCTTCATATAAATTCTTATATAGAGGCTACTGATAACCAGAGATGGCATACACAATCATACAGTTCTCAGAATGGAGAGTTCAGTGAAACTGTTAAGGTTGCATTATTCCTATTAAAACATATTTGAAATTGACCTGTTAGAAATGTATTTCGATTTGGAATTTGTGGTTTGAGATTTTCGCTAAATATTATTATCCGCTATCCAGTCAAAATAATGCATAACATTGGTATAGATCCCAAGATTTATTTCGTTTATGGTAATATGTATATAATTTCAAAAAATTATTATCACTGAATCCTGTTTAAAAAATGCAAGATCTTCTCTAAAAGCGGATGTTGCCACTCGCCGAAGAGTGACGAGGCTGCAGTTAAGACTCCCCACTCGCTGGATGCATCTGCAGCTGAGGAGGGGAGCCTTCCTTCCAGTGACCAGCTAGCGAGAGTCACTGGAAGTGATGCAGTCTCCTTCCCAGTATTTTGGCCAGAGCCCCCTATTTTCCGCTCTCTTCTTCGGGCTGTGGATGCTGAGCAATCGTTTCTTGGGAAATTCACACACACACACAGGAGAGGGGCGGCGAGATCGCTTTGCCAGATTGCTCTCCGGTCTCGGAGAGCTTTGGTAACGGCCAACGCGGTTCTGGAACCGGTTTCAGTTCGAAACTCTGACTGCACACACTCTGAAAAAAAGCAACAAAACAGAAAACAACACCAGCGACAGGAGTAATCATTTTCATTTGAAATAAGCAAATGAGCCGCAAAAAATGAATAGCATTGGAATTTGAATATTCGAAACGGAATGTTCGAACTTCGAACTGAAATTTATTTTCATCTAATTATGTGTGCTTTGTTTGAAGTCGCTGTGTGTGACAAGCAGGCAAGATTCAGCAACGTTTTAATAAATGAGAATTTTATGGCTTTGTTCTGAAGATCGATAGCAACAAGCTATTAAGGGAAGCGTTAAGCTTGCTTTTGCTTTTCGCTATTTTTAGCTAACCTCTGAGTAATACCTTATATGTGTTGGGCTTTTATTTAATAATAGCTTTCTTCTATAAAAATATATACCACTTTTGAAATACTTCCTTGAGGTGTTTTAGCATAAATTAAATTTAATCAAGCTTCCTTATAATACTTCCATAAATAGTATAAACAGAAAATCTTCTACTGTACATCTCAGTAAATAATTTTCCTAGCTTGTCTGCTTATTGCCTTTGAGCTTACTTGAGGATATCTGTAGTCTTGTGGCACCCCACCTGGGCATCAGAAATAATACCTTAGCCATCACTAATCACGAGTGGATTCTGGATTTATTGACCTTGCCTGGGCTGCTGATGCCAGTGGGGCGGCCCTTGGAGCTGCATGAATCCTTACATTTCGGAATGCGGCTGCGGTCGGCCTGAGCTCAGCTCAGTTCAGGTGAGATGAGATGAGGTGAGGTGAGGTGAGGTCCAATGTTTCCAATATTGCTGCACGGTGTCAACAACAGGAAAAAGCAAAAGCAAAAGCAACATCAAAAGCAATAGCAACATGGAGCAGGAGCAGCACGTTCGTGGTCTTGACTTTGAGGCCTGATACCGAGGCTGCTCTGTCGCCGCACGTACAACAACCATCTTACATAGCCGCCGATTAGCCAAGGTAACAAACGAAGAACTGGCCCAGACCCGGCTCAGGTCCAAAATGAGCTATCTCACTGCGCAAATCTTTCACTTCGTCGTCGTCTTGGTCGTGGTCGTGGTCTTTTAAGGGCCTCCACCAGCCTGGAAGGCCTGCCATTTATCGCAAATGCATTGTGGCAGTCCTCCACTGTGCTCCACTCCACTGTACTCGTTTCCACCTCCATTCCTTTCGAGTGCTCAAGACTGCATCTTATGCTGGCCGGCCTTAGCTCGTCTCTCGGCTTTTGTTTCATGCTCCGTGGCTAATGGCACGCAGGCTCCACAGGTTGCCGCTGTCGAGTGTTGTTGCAACATGCTGTTGTGGACGGACTGAGACGGGCGCCCCAGCACTCCAAGGTCCAAAGGCAAACACAATCTATACACTGGAAGAAACTAAGAGAAACAGTAGGGAACTTTAGGGAACTTTAGATAACTTGAGAGAACTTGAGATAACTTGAGAGAACTTGAGAGAACTTAAGAGGACTTCAGAGATTTTTAGAGAACTGAATCTTTTTAATTAGGATCCTTTACTTGACCATTATTAGCGTAGGAGAAAATACAAAACATGCTTTTAAGACCAATGCCAATGGTGATCACAGGAGCAACTCAAGAGCAAAACTCTCTGAAGTACCCTGGGCACCATCCATCTTTCTGATATGTTCTATATAATGATGTTTCGATATATATTCCTAAGATATTGAATTAAAATGAGGTAATTGTGTTAAAAAGTCCTAAACCTCTGTGGTGATTATTGTTTCCTGTGTAAATTACACACTGGACACACGTGTGCGTGGCTAAAACGTCCGTTTTCTTGGGTGCTCCCCACGGGTTCTTATCGCCACAGCGAGTCTCAGAGTCTCTCCCTCCTTTTTGGCCAGAGTCCGGGTCGGACTCTTATCTGACCGGAGTGCCATTCGCCTCGGAGTGCTTTATGCTCGGATTAAATTTAGCAAATCGAGCGATGCGCTAATTGAACTCGCTATTCGCGGGCTTTTTGTCGCCCCAAGAAAATGGTGTCCAACAATGTTGCCGACTTACCATAATTTACATTTGGAGGCACAAGCCAACATTGCTGCAAATATTATGGGGCCGAAAGACAGGCCGCTCAGGGATATATTTATGTCTGAGGGTATTTATAAATCGGGAGATGGAGATGTGCCCGGGCACTCGGACCCCAAAAAAGCTCCCCAGCAACTCGGCTTGGCCGCTCATATTTCACACTTCACGACAAAGCGATTAAAGTCGCGCAAACAATCTGTTATTGGAGTTGTTGCAATTATGTTTACAAAGACATTAAAAAGGAACGAAAAGCGAATGGCGAGCGGGGAATAAAAATAAAAATACGAGAAGCAAATACACACACAGAGTCAGTGTTAAGCTTGAACAAAAAAATAAAACTCGAAATCAGCCCAAGAGACTTCGAGGCACTCTTTATTTTATATTTCTTCTGTTTTTTTTTTGTTTTTTATTTTATTCTCCAGCTTGTTTTGTGTTTTTGAAACGTGAGTCGTGCACGCTGCCAGACGACGGCGACAATCAATATAAAAAAATCAGTAAAGAAAAAGAAACCAAAAAACCACAACTTTTATGCTAAAACGATGAGATGAAGTCAATGTTTCTACGTATTTGCATGCCACTCGCCTGGGTTAACTCGGGTTAAAGTTAAAGCTAAGTCCGTAGCTGAAGCTAAAGCTATAGCCACGATCTATCGCCCAATTAGCCGGAGGAATGCCTCTCTGGGCCCATCAAAGTCGAATGTGCCGCATCATCGCGGGGCCTCAGCAATTAGCTTTAATTCTAAGCAGCTTTTCACGGCCATGTGACAAGTGGAATGCTGATGAAGCATTCTCTGATCGAACTCTGATCGATCTATCACCGGACTTGGAGTCGTGTTTGTTATATACCAAAAAGCAAAAAGGGCTGTGCCAAAGGGTCTGATGGTAATCCAATTATGCGCCTTCAGGTGTTAGGGCTGGCACGCGCTTAAAGTTGACCAAAAACTAGGTGGGGGAGGGGGAATATTTATGGTAACAAATGAGGCTATTCAAATTATTTACATATACTTAGCTCACTGTTTATCGCGCAGAGTTTATTTAAATAACTTGGTCTGGCTAAGAGTTGATAAATCGCCAAAATTGAATAATATTTTGTAGGATATCTGCTTAGGAAATCTTATATCAGAATAAATCCACATATTTTTGTTAGATTTCTTCTTTAAAATGATATGATCAAGGTAATATTTCATGCTGGTTTCTGTTCCAAGATATTTTGTTACTAAAAATTAACATAGAACAGCTTAGCGAAAACAAATTTATTAAAGATTGGGTAAGCATCTTCTGATCATTTTGAATAATAATCATATATCCTTCTTCAATATTCCTTTCACTCAAGAAAGTTCAACTTTCTTTGTTAAATACAAACATTATTGTAAATATTAAATATGTATATGAATATATGTATAATATTTACTGCTGCTTGCCATGTGCGAATGTGCAACAAAATTCGTTTCGCCTTATGGTCTCTCGAGGGGCTGGTTCATCCCTCTTTTGGGACAGAACAATCGCAAAACACTTGAGCGCCTCCTGAGCCGATCTTTTGTTACTGTTAATCTGCGTGGCACTTGAAAGTAACGCCTCGACTTCGACTCCAACTGTGATCCCGACTCCTATCCCTACCGCTCAGACATCGATGGTGATGATCACGATGATGCCAGCGATTCCGACAACCTGTAGAGCAACCAGGAATCACGTCAAGGGTCTGGGTTCACGAGGCTTTCTATTGAAATTGGTAAAAAATACAACAAAAACCGAAAAGATCATAGACAGATGGAGTGCAGTGGAGTGGAGTGGCATCGAATCGAGATGAGTGTGGTGTGTGTGGAATGGGGGAGATGTAAGACATTTCTCTTCGCATGGCATTTTGTACGCTTCATCAAAAGGTGTGTACACTGGGAAAAATATCGATTACATTAAACTGAAGATGTAGTGTTGCCTTAAAAATGCCTGAAATGTATGTATTTTGAAAGAAATCTTAAATCAAACTCAATAACAATCTGATTTATAGTTGTTTTTAAACATTTCCTATATATAATTTCCTTGATTTTCTCTGTGTAAGAGTAGGGGAATTCGGTTTCTTACACCTTTCGAACGATTCGGCGTTTGCGTTTACCTGTGGCAAAGAGTGGCAGAGTGGCAGAGTGGCGGAGTGCCCTGAAGTGGTTTCGGAGTTCTGAGATCGTTCTCAACTCGATGTTCGGCTGTCAGTTGCATGCTCTTCGATTTTGACAGATGATTCTGTACGGGTTGGGCTCTCAGTATGGCTGAGGTTCTTTTGATTGAGGTCTGGCCAGACGGCTATTAATATGTTTGATTATGGCTGCAGATCGACGAACGGCGCTTGGCATAGCCATAACCTGGCTTTCCCCTCCCCCCACACCAAAGAAATCCAAGTGAAACGAAAACGCTTTTCAATTTAAATGTATTTTCATGCTCTAAGACAATGCGCCAAGCGAGACAATGCAACGCCTCTCGACTCGCAGCGTGGGATTCAAGATGGTTGCGCTTTTCCAAGTGCACCTTTTGTGTCCCCGGCATTTAGGCAAAAAGCAGAAGAAAAACTAAAGGAAAATCGGGGGAAAAGGTCAGATCGAAAACGATTTTACCTGCAAAATAAATGTCCTTTTGCTTCGGGTCCCGCCGAGCACATGGCGCAGGCGTAAAAACCCCGATTTCTTGTGGGCTGGGAACAGGTGAAGAGACTCTCCTCTGCCGAGAGATCTCAGAGATCTGCCCTAACAATGTTGACAACATTCGAACAGAAATCTTTTGCCAAAAGACAAACCATAGCGCCGCCGTCTTTTGGCCCACGCAGGCTTAGCTCACACAGACACAGCTGCAGCAGCAGCAGCCGCAGCAGCACACAAAGATACTTTTTGCCGAGATACAGATACAAGAGAGGGCGGCGATCTTGTGCGCTTATATGGCATACATATGCCCACACACAAACGAGAGACAGCCAGAGAGAGAGAGAGAGAGAGAGCGTAAGAGCAACCCCAGAGATATTTTTACCTGAGCTCTTACGAATTCGCCGCAATAACAACAATAGCGACACGAAACTGGGATATACACAACATCTTACCTGTGAGAGTCGACCTGCAATCTATGCGAATCTTAAATGCCCTGCACAGCTGTCAAAGTTAAGAGGCCACGGGATTATCTCTTAGAGGTCCTTGGTCCTTGGCTTTGCTATTGGGTATTAAGAGGGACTTAAGCCCAAAGGTAGAGGGGGAAATCAGAAATAGTTCTAGAGTTTCCTTACGTTTGAGTTATCTATCTAACTTATCGTCTTGACATCAATCGATCTTATACTTATCTATAACATAAGAAGGGATTGCAAGCAGTTTTTTGGGAATTGATTAATTAGAATTCAGGAAATTATACAAATAAACTCTTACAGCCTTGCAGGGGTTTCTAATATTAGTCAGAAGGTTGTAAAGGTTGTGAAGGAGTCATTTCCGACCCTATAAATCATATATACTCTTGATCAGCATCAATAGTCGAGTCGATCTAGCCATGTCTGGTCAAAAAATAAGTTTTCGAACATTATTAGATAAGGGGTTACATCGTTAATATTTTCAAAAATTGGAAAACAATTTAATTTTTAAAAATATTAACCTAATAAAAACTAACATTGAACTGCTTTTCGAATTGAAATTAATTCATTTTTAGCTTAGATAGAAGTTTTTTAATCTGTGAATTCTGGAACAAATTTGATATCAAAATTTATATTAATATTAATTCAAAGAATGCAAATATTTTAAGCTTAGTTATGATCGATTTCCGATTTAATCCAACATACAATTCAATTGCAAACAGTAAGGATGTATAAACTTTGGTTTCCCGAAGTAAGTTTCCTTTCTTGTTTTCGTATTGAATAATTTGTATAGTCGTCTTTTAGGATCCATTTAAAGAGTATTGAATCCTCCTACCTTATATTAGTATCTTTAACCTGACAATTTCTATGATTATTATAAGTCTTTATAGGTTTGCTTCGTTAAATAAACTTCGAATCATATTTCCTTCAAGTATTATATCTCTTTAATCCATTCCCATCTTAACCCACTAAAAAGGCTTTAAAGTAGAGCATTTCTTGGCCAGATTGCTCAAGACATTTTGCCCTGTGTCGCTTCGTATTACGCTGAGGTTTTTATTTTATTTTTTTTAAACGCTGCTGCCTCGTTTACGATTACCTGTAGAGCAGTGCAGAGCGGGAGAGATAGAGAGAGAGAAAGAGGGAGAGGGAGAGCGCGCTGCTTTGCTTTTATTTTGACCTGATCTGCGCTTGAGATTTCCAATGCTCACCTTTTCTTTTTACCTGTGAGCACTGGAGAGCGGCGTTGCAGAGAGTGGCAAACTGAGTGAGAGAGGGAGAGAGTGTGGCCATGTGTGCATGTGTTTTGGGCAACGGCTTTGGCTTTGGCTTCGGCTTCGCTTTTGGTTTCCAGTCTCGAATACAACTTGTTGCTGCGCAGACGCGGATCGTTTGTTGCGCAGAGAGTCCTCCTCGATCGATCGATAAACATCGGTCCAGAAAATTGCCAATCTGCATATGTATGCATATACCAATCCGCGATCTCTCGCTCCGCTAATTTGCTTCGTTGTGCTAATCAAAATACCAAGAAATCGGTCAGTTTCGTCGTGTAAAACAAGTGCCTGGCATCGGTTTATACATATACCATATATTATATGTATCTGAATAGCAATCCAACCAAATTTTTGTGAATTCCCTGCTAATTGGCAGAGTTTTTGCGGTGTGCCAGCAAAATGTGTTTGTGCAAATTGGGGCCAGCAAAAACCATTGCTTAGGGCAATTAAGCCCAAGAAAAGCTGCGCCTGCGCGCGCCCTAACCTCAAAAAGAGCCTGAAAAATACAAAAATACATCTTAAACAACAAAAAAAAACTAACAAAAATTGTATAGTATGTATACATACGTATATGTGTATTTAAAAGCCTTCGGACGACTCTTGTGGCTCGTAATGTGAAACTGGTTCCTATACACACACACACACACTCTGAGCAACTCATTCGCTCGAAGACCCACTCGAAAACACACACAAACACACAATACACACACAGTGAAATGTAAACACCAATACAGTGGCAAATTGCAACGACAACAAGCAACCAACGAAAAAAAAAACGCAGTGAAAAGAGTGCCAAATATCAAGTTGATATAAAAGTTGTTATTTTCGGCCAGCGTAGCACCAAAAACACAGCCAGTAAAAAAACAACACCCACAGAAGTTCAAGACCCCATGACGTCAGGGAGTAAAGCTGGCAGCAGGGCTTGATTGGAATCCGGCATCTGGAACTCCTTCCGATACCCAACAACCCCCCTTCGAAGATGCTGCTGCGGCGGCCCAATGGCCTTGGCCTCCCACTCCTGCTGCTCCTCCTGCTGGTTGTGTGCATCTGCATCTGGCCCGCCTCGGCGGCCCGAGATCGCTATGCCCGTCAGAATAATCGGCATCGGAATCAGGATATAGAACGTGATCGGGATCGATTCCTGTATCGCAGCACTTCGGCGAGGGATCGGCAACGAGGTGTCACCAATTTTGCACCCGTGGGCACCACTGTGGGTGCAGCGGGTCAGGAGGAGCCAAAGAGCGAGTTTGTCAAGGGAAAAAGTAAGTTCACATTACTAGGATATAGAATCTCTATCTGGTATCTGGCCATCCATCTTCGTCAGTCGTACTGTTGTGTGCCCCTCATCTATCACAATCTGTTTATGTAGATTTGCGCCTGCCCATATATCATAGAAAGAAAAGCGTCGAGAAGTCCCAAATATGGTTGGTTTTTGGGGTTTTTTAGTTTTCAGTTTTTCATGTTTTTTTGGGTTCTCAGTTTATTATTATTTCTTTTTTTTTAGTTAGGTTGCAGCGATATGCTATGGGGCCTTATCTTATCATTGTTTTTTATTTGGTTTGCCTCTTATGCTGCACTGCATATATGAGCTCGTTTTTTTCGGCTGCATTTTGTATTATTAGGTCTTATCGTTACCCTGTAGTTGGACGGGTATATTGGGCTAACAGAGAGTGTAAAATGTGTTTTAAAAACTATCAGAACCTCTGGGAATCTTTTAAAGGACTGCCTTTTTGACACTTTAAATTATAATATCTTATTTATGATGCAATTTATTTAATACTTTGTTTTTGTTTAAAGCAATTTACTTATTAGTAAATTAAATTCTATACCTAATCCTTACAAAGGATGCCGTATTTAGTGTGTTTGAACACCCTTTTTCATTTTTCCACACAAATATCAAGTATACGCCAGGGTATCCCTTAGTCTTGGACCCTGGAAAAGCATTTCGCTTTTGGTTATTTTATACCTGCCCTTTGCTGCTGGTCTCACCTGCCCCTCTGGTGTGTGTGTGTGTGTGTGTGTGTCACCTCTTGACTTGGCGCTGGCTTAGTTAAAGTTAAAGAGTCTTGTGTGCACTATCGCCCCCTCCCCCTGATTTCGGTGTTGCCCCCGCCCCTTCTCTCCAGCACTACCAGGTTATCACGGCAAACAACAAATACCAGAACAGACTGATTAGCCAAAAGGGAGTATATAGAATAGAGCATACTTCTGCATTTCGTAATGTCAAATGTACAAGGTAAGCGGCAGTTGGTCGTGTTTTTCCAACTGTTCGACTTTTCCCGCCGTCTGCGTGCACTTTCCCCCTGTGTCAGCGGCAATTCTCTTTTTTTTTGTGATTTTTTCATTCTCATAATTGCAACTGCAACAGCAACAGCAACAGCAGCAAGCGACACAATTTCCAGCTAAAATGGCGACTCAATTTGTTGACTCGACAGAAAGCGAGGTTCTCTTTCGGCCGTCCAACGTTGGTAAATTAATAAGAATTCGCATTGGCATACGCGAAACAGCCATTTGGGCACAAACGGCACTCGATGGCCAATTTAATGAACGCAACTCGTATCTGGCTGTGTCTGTTTGCACAATACTTTGGGGCAAATGTTTGCATTTGGCGGGCAAACAAAAAATTGAATTGAAAAAAAAATAGAATAAATATCAGAAAAAAATTATGAAAAGAAGAAAAGCAAAAGCAAAATGCGTACCTTTTCGATATTCAGTACTCAGTGATCTTGTATCTTGCAAATTAATAACTCCCGGCAACTGTGCAAATATTGATAGGAAAACTTTGGCGCAACCACTATGCTAATGGAGCCGGATACGGATACGGCGGGGCTAGATAAGGCCCCGATTATGAAACCGATAAAGATTCCTCCTCTATATCTGTATATATCTCACAAAGGGCTCCGATTATTACCCTTGTTTTTTTGCACCAAGTGTGTTTTGTACAAAGCCTTTTTCCGTTGAAATTGTTTGCTGCTCTACTGCTGCTGCTATGTGTTACTGTTCCGTTGTCGTTTTTTCTTTATGACCATAAATAAGCACAGCTGCGGCAAATATGCAAATAAAATGCTAGAGAAAAGCCTGCTGCCACAAGCTGCACGTGCAGGCGAATCGAAACCCCCTTGGAAAAAATATATAAAACACTTTCATGGGGAGAGAGAGGTGGTTTTAGGGAAACTTGAGCAACTGGCAGTCGCAATTGTTGTTGACGCTTTTTTTATTACGAGTGAAATGAATGCCCTGCAAGTCACCGAAACGTGCAGTCGACAATCATTCACCTCTGACTTGAAACATCATATCTCAAGTTTTGTATTTATTACGCTCTTGATAAGGCACTTTTTTCGCAGAATTTCGCTGTATTTTTGTTATGATTTCAAAGTATATTTGTATTTACTCTTCTAGGATAAGCTCAAGGTTTGAGGTGTTTAATAACAGAAACTTCTTTGAACGAAGTGTTTTTTGTTTAAAATGATTTGTTAGGACTTCAAAATATATTTTTTTACTTTCCTTGGATAAGCTCAAGGTTTTGAGGTGTTTATTTATTCTTCCTTGAATGAAGTGTTTTTTGGTTCAATTTATTTGTTATGATGTTTCTCTTTGATTATTTATATAGTTTAAAGTGAAGTATACATGTTCTGTAAAGAAATATCTACAAGTTTCATATATTTTAAAGTGGTGTTTACTTTTAATTAAAAGATAATATTGTACTGACGTTACTGTAAATTATTTTCTTTCAAAATCTTATCTTTTATCTTTTTAATACGCTTAATATTCCGTATTCACAATATACACTTTCAAAACTCTTTCTAAACCAATTTCTATGCTAAATACCTGTACACAAAATACCTGAATTTAAATGGCTTGCCTTATTCATTTTTTGTTTACACTTTTCAAAGTAATTTTTGAAAAATTGCCGAAATTGATATGCATGAAAATAGTAATTAATGGCTTTGCCACTACGCCCGAAATCCGTGGCTGGGCTAACAACTACAGCTGCACACCTCCCCCACATAGACATACACACACACACACCTAGATAGAGTGTGCGTGTTAACGCTTGAAAAACCGCATTCCTTAGTGCGCTTTTGCTGCGATGCGATGGCTTCACGGGTTCCGAGTTCGAGCTGAAGTCCGAATCCAAGTTTGACCAGCATCCCGAGAGCCTCTCCCCTCTCCCTCTCCCCTCGCCCTCGCCCCTCTGCTGGCCACCAATCCACACCCCCCTTAACCCACGAGCACAATGTAAGCTCCAGCTAATTACAGCGTCAGGCACGCGCTGCCATTTCGTGGTGTGCGTGTTTTGAGCCATGATCTCTGTCTGTGTCTGTATCTGTATATGTGTGCTCTTTGCATTTTTCTATAATACTCCTGATTAAGCCATCATATCAGAGAAATAATGGCCAAATTGAACTGCGAAATGGCCAACGTATGTCTCTGAACTTTAAGGCCTGGTCTATCAGCTCTTAGCTCTTAGCTGTTTGCTATTTGCTTTTAGCTGTTCGCTGCAGTTGTTGATGCATTAGCGTTGCATTTACTTTTTAGCCGTTCAACTACTTCCAGCAATTTTGTTTGTGGCCAAGTCGAAATACTGGTTTTCTAAAACCCACACGGATACACACAGAGCCACGGATACAGATGCAGATACTTAATAGTGAGGAGGGAGAGAGAGAAGGAGAGAGCCTGAGATGCTGCGATTGCGCAGTTGAATCTCTCTCTCTCTTCCTCTATAGTTCTCTCTCCCGCTCACTTGTTGAGCATTTTGGAAGAGATCTCAGCTCTAGGGGAAATATTTGTTTTATTTTCTTTTAATCCATGATAATTTTCCGAGGGAAGATAGAGGAAAATGATAATAAACACCTTAAGATATATGTATAACTTTCTTCTTCATTACATTTATAGCATTTATGCTTTTTAAAAGACAGATTTAATTATTAAACTTGGGGATATTTTAAAACCATATGGCACGTAATTTATTATAAAGATTAAATAAAGATTGTTCAAAGTATTATTATTTATATTTTGTCACGTCTTCCGTCCTCTAAATCTGTTTTTAATTAAAGAATTAAACACTTAAACTACTCATTGAATTGGTTCTCTTTACAAACATTTTATGTTCTATGTTTATATTTCTTTCTTTCAATTTTTGTTAAATGTATTACACAAGATATTACATTTCAATTTCAATAAAATAAACAAGTCTTGTCTAACTTTCAAACCCTTTTCTTGGCCAAGATTTTTGAACTTTTGACTGCAGTTTGCCTCATAGGTTGCCTCCGCCTTTGCCTTTTTTCTTTGCCTCTTTTTATTTTTACTGCATGTGGGCGTTCGATTTCGAAAAGCAGAGCTAAAGCCGAGCTTGTCGGTCCTCTGCCCACGATATATAGTAATGTTTATATATATAAATATGTATACAAAGCTGCTGAGATAGCTTCTGAGACCTCTCCCCGATTTTCTTAGCCATCTCCCTCGCTCGGTGTTGTGCCGATCTATGCCTAAAAATAGTTGCGAATGCGAAAATTTTTATAAAAGCCAAGCAGCCAGGCAGCAGACCAAAAATGGCGCCAGGGCGTGCTCATTAAGCCAAAGCCAGCAGCCAGCAGCCAGCAGCCAGAGAAGCTATATGGTCAAAAGCTGCAGCTCGGCCCAGTTGGGGGTTGGGCCTTAGTTTTCAAGGGGGGGAAATATATATGTTTATATGTATAAAGTATAGGCAAGAACAAAGAAAATACAATAAGCTTATCTAATCCAGGCTTTAGCTGTTGGCTAAAAGCAACTAACAACAACAGACTCACACACAGCGAGGTTGTCGTGCCTCACGACCTGCGCCCAATTGTTGTTCGAAAACAAAATGAACGCGCTTCGAACACGAAAACCCGAAAGCACAAGAGATGCTGATCATCATGAGAGAGAGGCATTGGAATGGGGTTGGAGTTGGAGATGGAGATGGGCATGGATGAGGATGGGGCCCAGTTGGATGGTGAGGATCAGGGCGAGGGCGAGGGCGAGGCAAAAGCAGCCAAGATGAGCCGCCACAAGGCATCATCATCATCATCATCATCTTCATCTTAAGCCAAGAGGTTGCTGTTGTTGCAGCATCTTTGTTTCGTGGATGTTTGCCTGTAGGATCACTGCAAGAAATAATGGGAAAATAATATAGTTTGAAATGAGTTTTATAACTTTTCTGTTTCTTATTTTATTCAACTAAATGAAAGCTATCTTCTTTAAATATTCTGAAAATATTTTAATACTTTTGTTGAGTATTTATAATTTTCGTTTAGTGTTTTTGTCGGTGCTTTTGTTTGTGCTGTTGTTACGGCGACTGCTGGCTGCAAATTTGTTATGCCAAGCTGAAGATGCGCCTGCGCTTGCAGCGTTTTCTGGCTAAGATTGCTCCCAACCTCCTCCTCCCCACTGCCATGAGCGTGAGGCATGCTCCTCACCTGACCACCACCCGCCGGAGCTGGAGTTGGAGCTGGAGCTGGAGCTGCTGTTGCGCTTATTTGCCTTCGCCTTCGTGACGCCACGACGCGAGCATAGAACAGGCAACACGAAAGAAAGTTGCCGCAAACAGCATTCTGCACAAGCAAAATAAGCCCGGTGGAAGAGAAAAAAGCGGAATAAAATCAGGAAAAAAATCAGAGAGTATGAGAGGAAAATTGCAAAATCCGCGCACGTAAGCGGCTTGGACTGGAGACCTAAGCTCCAAGCTTCAAGCTCCAATGCAGCTCCGGTCTCCGCTCGCTCCGCTCTCCTAATGAGCTGGCTGCGTGTTTTTAATGGCCGCACAAATGAATTTATTAAGCACTTTTACACAATTTCATTGTAAGTTAGGCGCGTGCCGAGCCGCAATGGACTGAAATTGTCGCAAAACAGTTATGAATTATTTATGGGGAGTCGGTAGTCGGACGGCGGTCGGTCCGATGTTAGGCTGACGGAGAAACCAGGGGTATTTTTACTCGATTGCATTGCAATTACCGGCTAGAGTCGCAGCTAATCCACGACACCTTCTGCAACGACATCTGCATATGGCGCCTGATTGAAACTTTCACCGGGTACCAGATCAATGTACTTGTTCATCAAAATATCTTCAGTTCGGGCGAAGATATACCACCCGAGGCTGTAACGGAGTGCCAGTGCTCGATAATTTGATCGAATCGGCTTGGGAATGCTCGGGCTACATCCCCACCAATCGATCGATCTCTAAACTCTGAGAAAAAAAAAGAAAACAAAGCCTGCTTAATGCCCTTTTAAATCTTTTGTTATATTACAACAAAATCTAGACAATTCTTGTTCCTCTTCTCGTCGCTGCCCCGTTGCCGCGGGCGAAGGCACACAAAAATGTTGCTACAACAGGCAGCAGCAGCCAGCAAGCGATCCAATGAGCAATCCAGATGGTCTTCTGGGGTTTTGGCTTTGGCTTTGGTTTCGGTTTCGGGCCATGAGTTAAAAATCTTTTCCACGAAATGAAAAATACACACAAAGAGCGCACACAGATACAAGACAGCAACAGATACGGGAAGGGGTCGAAGAGTATAGTGAGCACTCTGGCAAGGGTTTATATTTTAGGGAATATAGAAAGGTTCTAAAAAAAATTTCATAGTTTGTTGTATTCTTTATTTTGTTTATTTGCTTACTGAAGTTACTTAAGTAATTAAGATTCTTAGAGTGATTTTAATGGGACTTTAAAGTTTTTCTTATGTTAATTGTAATCAAAAGTATTAGATGCCTTTTATATCCTTACAGGGTATTAAAATGTTGCTTTAGCAGCTTGAAAAGCAATGAAGAAATCATTTCCGACCCCATAAATCATATATGTATATTCTTGATCAGCATCGAAAGGCGATTCGTTCTAGCCATGTTTCAACAGAAAAAATGTTGACCAAATTGTTAAAAATTTTTAAGGGGTTACATCGTTAATATTGTCAAAAATTTACCAAATTTTAAACGCAATATGCAGATTTTAACTAATAAAAACTATAATAGAACAGCTTTCCGAATTGAAATTAATACATTTTTGGCTTAGTTATGAGTTTTTAAAATTTTTATTTTATGCAAAAAATTGTTATATTATAATAAATAATGGAATTCTCGATAAATGTTCAAAGAAGGCGAATATTTTAAGCTTCGTTATGATTGGTATCCGATTCAATCCTTTAATAAATAAACCTTTGCTTACCAAAGTTAGTTCCCTTTCTTCTTTCCACAAAATTTTTTTCGTTAAAATCGTATATTGTATCAAATAATGCTACATAACCTACATAAATATTAATATAACTCCTTTAAGAACTCATAACATTTAAAGTCTTGTTAGCGAACGATTACTGTACCGTACAAACGTGAACAACAAAAACTGTTAAATGCGCAGAACCGGCTGAGCGAGTCGGGTCCACTGCAGCGATGAGTGCGAGCAGAAGCGAGAGGGAGAGAGGCCAAGACACACACACACACATAGCACACTCAGGGAACGTCAAGAACGCTTTGCGTCTAGGCCAGAAATTGAGGAAAACTCGGGGTCCAAAAGTCAAAATGCCTGTGCATCGATGGAAAACCCAAAAGAATCGATTATGCAGCCTCTCTCTCTCTCTCTCTCTGTCTCTCTGCATCTCTTTTATTTCCATTGGAGAAAAGCCAAACAGCAGCTGGAAACAAAAACAATATTTAGAAAGTCAGCAAAGTAAAGTTTGGAATGCGGCTGCCTATTAATCAGTACGTCAGATGGAGTCAGTTGAAGAGTCTGCTGGGGCAGAGGAGGGGCGGCTTGGAGTCAGTTGGGGCCTGAAGGGCAGTTCGTGTGTTGATGGCTTGGCATACAAATCGATAAACAAATATACAGATTTTCCTCTCCCAGTCATCTCTCTCACTCGCTGTCCCTGTGTGTCTGTGTGTGTGTCGGTTGATTAATCTAGACGCTGAAGTTCGTTGCCTAAGTCTTTTGTTTTAATGAGCACATCATGAATTATGACTTTGATTTGTGCTGAGATGAGGACTGCGACAGAGACTGTGACTGCGACTCTGGCTTTGCCTCCAACTGCGACTGCCACTCATTAATGTTGCCACATATTAGCCTTAGCCTAAGGATTACAAATTAGCCTTTTTGTGGTCCACTCCACTCCGCTGGGGCGGGCGTGTCTGCTGGCAACCAAAGATGGAGACGGCAAAGAAAAATCGCGATTCCCGAGAAACCCGAGAGCTGGCAGGGATTCCGCTGCCTCCGTTGTCGTGGCTTAAGTTTCAGGCCGAGACCTCGGCCCGAACATGAAAACCTGGCTGATAAATTGTCCGCGATAAAGCCCAGTCGCGGGGAGCTTGGCTTGAAAAGGGTTTCGTGATGTCTGTCTCTGAGAAATGAAGGCGGCTGCCGCTGCTCCGGCTGCTGCTGCTGCCCAGCGGCAACCTCGACAACAAAAAGAAAAGGCTAAAGAAAAAATAAACAGATACCTACATATAAAAAGGCAGAAACAAAGCTTAAGAATTTGTACGAAAATTTTTGCGCTTCGATTGCTGCAGCAGCCGCTTTTGATCAGTGTCCAGCGACAAAGTCCGAGGTCCCAGTCGTGGCCTCACCTTCTGCCCCAACTCCTGGTGCCCGCCTCCTTTGCTCCTTCGGTCGGGGAATGCATGGGACGCATATCTGGGGGCATTTAACTTTTTCTTCCCATCGCCACAGGAATTTCTCTCTGTTTCTGGCGACACAAAAATATTTCTCTGTCTTTGGTTCTCATTCGCTCGTTTTCATAATTATGTCTTCGAAGGAAATCAATAAAGTGGCCGGTGTCGGCCATTTGTGGATAATTAGTTGGGTGCCCCCGAGTGTCATGTGGGTTTGGTCTTAGGTGGGTGTCTAACTCTGACTTCGACTATGACTCCAACTGGCACACTTTCGCGGCCCACACTGCTTGGGAAGCCTAGCCCACGTAGCCCTTTATTTCCCAAAGAAGAACCCATGAATCGCTATATGAAATTGTATCTATCGGATGCAAATCAATGAAGTTGTCGCCGAAGATGCTCGAGCGGCTACGCGAGCGGCTAAAACAGGTCGCTGACTAATGATAACAGACCGACTGTGTCTGGGATGAGATGCGAGGCGAGACTGCGTGGGCTGCTAATTATTAAAAACGCCAACTGACAACAGACTCTGACTGAAACTGAGCCGCCCACAGCTTTCGGGCTTTGTCTCTGCCTCATTTTATTGCTTCCGAGCAAAACAAACCATAGTGCTGGGCGCTGCTAAGCTATTTCCGTTTACGAGTCCGGAGTTCGAACCGATCGAAATTAATTTCTCAAACTGGACGCGGCATAAGTCAACACCTACCCGACCTGGTGGGCCGCCAATAATTAGACAGTTTAGGGTCACCAATGGTCGGAGAGAAAAAGAAAAACCCATTAACCTGCTTGAACACCTACACTATATAGTACTACAACGATTTCCCTTTTCCCAACTCTCTTTGCAGTCTGCATTGGCACCAAATCCCGTCTGTCTGTGCCCTCGAACAAGGAGCATCACTACAGGAATCTCAAGGATCGCTACACCAACTGCACCTACGTGGATGGTAACCTAGAGCTGACCTGGCTGCCCAATGAGACTCTAGACCTGAGCTTCCTGGATCACATCCGAGAGGTGACCGGCTACATTCTGATCAGTCATGTGGATGTCAAGAAAGTGGTATTTCCAAAGTAAGTAGAGAATGAGAAGAAATCTCTTAATTAAGAACAAATAGAGGCAGATTAAGCGAGGATATTGAAGGGTGTCCTTAGTCAGGTCTCAGATTCATATTAATATATATGTTCTGCATTTCCCATTTGCAGACTACAAATCATTCGCGGCCGCACGCTGTTCAGCCTGTCGGTGGAGGAGGACAAGTACGCCTTGTTCGTCACCTACTCGAAGATGTACACCATGGAGATGCCCGATCTTCGCGATGTGCTCAATGGCCAGGTGGGCTTCCACAGCAACTACAATCTGTGCCACATGCGTACCATCCAGTGGTCGGAGATTGTGTCCAACAACACGGATGCTTACTACAACTATGGCAACTTTACGGCTCCGGAGCGTGAGTGTCCCAAGTGCCACGAGTCCTGCTCGAAGGGATGCTGGGGCGAGGGACCGCAGAACTGCCAGAAGTTCAGCAAACTCTCCTGCTCGCCGCAATGCGCCCAGGGTAGATGTTATGGACCCAGGCCTAGGGAGTGCTGCCACCTGTTCTGCGCTGGAGGATGCACGGGACCCACGCAGAAGGATTGCATCGCCTGCAAGAACTTCTTTGACGATGGCGTCTGCAAGGAGGAGTGCCCGCCAATGCGCAAATACAATCCCACCACATACGTGCTGGAGGCAAATCCGGAGGGAAAGTATGCTTACGGAGCCACCTGTGTCAAGTCCTGCCCCAGTCACTTGCTCCGGGATAATGGAGCCTGTGTGCGCAGCTGTCCCCAGGACAAGACCTCCAAGGATGGCGAGTGTGTGCCCTGCAACGGACCCTGTCCCAAGACCTGTCCCGGCATCAGTGTGCTCCACTCGAACAACATTGACTCCTTCAGAAACTGCACGGTGATCGATGGCAATATACGTATTTTGGATCAGACCTTCTCGGGCTTCCAGGACATTTATCCTAATTACACACTGGGAGCAAGGTATATTCCGCTGGACCCCGAGCGACTAGAGGTATTCTCTACGGTGAAGGAGATCACCGGTTATCTGAACATCGAGGGAACTCATCCGCGCTTCAGGAATTTGTCCTACTTCCGCAACCTGGAGATCATTCACGGCCGCCAGTTGATGGAGAACATGTTCGCCGCCCTCTCCATTGTCAAGTCCTCGCTGTACAGTCTGGAGCTGCGCAGCCTCAAGCTGATCAGCTCTGGCAGTGTGGTGATCCAGCATAATAGGGATCTGTGCTACGTGGGCAATATCCGATGGTCAACGATTCAAAAGGATGACGACCAAAAGGCGTGGGTCAACGAGAACCTGAGAGCGGATCTGTGTGGTAAGTTCTCAGGATAGTCTATGAAATTATATTATATGCATTTATGTAGTTTTCTTTCATTAATGATTATATTTATTTTACCTCACAGAGAAAAACGCCACCATTTGCTCGGACGAGTGCAACGATGATGGTTGCTGGGGTGCTGGACCGGATCAGTGCTTGAACTGCAAGAACTATAATTACAATGGCACCTGCCTGGCCGACTGTCGGAATATTCCCAAGTAAGCAACTCGCTTTACACTTTCGTCTGAAGTTCAGTACTCATTCCTCTCTTTCTTTTAGTGTCTATCCCTTTGATGACAAGACTTGTAGCACTTGTCACCCGGAATGCAAATCCTGCTGGGGACCCGGAGCGGAACACTGCGATGCCTGTGTCCACGAGCGGCACGAGCAGCACTGCGTGGCCGAGTGCCCGGAGAACTGGTACAGCCAGAATGGAACCTGTTATCGTTGCCACGCCACCTGCGAGGGCTGCACGGGACCCAATAACACCATCGGACTGGGGGCTTGCAATACCTGCAACCTGGCTATCATCAACAATTCAGCCAATGTGGAACGCTGCCTGCTGAAGGACGACAAGTGCCCCGACGGCTACTACTGGGAGTATGTGCATCCGCAGGAGCAGGGCTCACTGAAGCCTCTGGCTGGGAAGGCTGTCTGCCGGAAGTGTCATCCACGCTGCAAACTCTGCACCAACTATGGCTTCCACGAGCAGGTCTGCTCCAAGTGCGCCAAGTTCAAGCGGCTGGAGCAGTGCGAGGATGAGTGCCCGGCAGATCACTACACGGACTTGGAGCGCAGCGAGTGCTTCGAGTGCCATCCGGAGTGCAAGGGCTGCACGGGACCCGGCGCCGACGACTGTCTGGCCTGCAAGACCCTCAAGCTGTTCGATGTCAATGAGACGGGTCCGTATGACAACTCCACGCTCTTCAACTGCACCTCCAAGTGTCCGCCGGAGTCGCGGCACGTCAACTACCAGTCACTGGCCATTGGACCCTATTGCTCCTCCAGTCCGCCGAGGAGCAGCAAGCTTACCGCCAACCTGGACGTCAACATGATCTTCATTATCACCGGCGCCGTGCTCATTCCCACTATCTGCATCCTGTGCGTCGTCACCTATATCTGTCGACAGAAGCAGAAGGCCAAGAAGGAGACCGTCAAGATGACCATGGCTCTGTCCGGCTGCGAGGATTCTGAGCCACTGCGTCCCTCGAACATCGGTGCCAATCTCTGCAAGCTGCGTATTGTCAAGGATGCCGAGCTTCGCAAGGGCGGAGTCCTGGGAATGGGCGCCTTCGGTCGCGTATACAAAGGAGTCTGGGTCCCGGAAGGCGAGAATGTCAAGATCCCGGTGGCCATCAAGGAGCTGCTAAAGTCCACGGGTGCCGAGTCCAGTGAGGAGTTCCTGCGCGAGGCCTACATAATGGCCTCTGTGGAGCATGGCAATCTGCTGAAACTTCTGGCCGTGTGCATGTCCTCGCAGATGATGCTGATCACCCAACTGATGCCGCTGGGCTGTCTGCTGGATTACGTCAGGAATAACAGGGACAAGATCGGCTCCAAGGCCCTGCTCAACTGGAGCACTCAGATTGCCAAGGGCATGTCCTATCTGGAGGAGAAGCGTCTGGTTCACCGTGACCTGGCTGCCCGCAATGTCCTTGTGCAGACACCCTCGCTGGTCAAGATCACCGACTTTGGCCTGGCCAAGTTGCTGAGCAGTGACTCCAACGAGTACAAGGCAGCCGGCGGCAAGATGCCCATCAAGTGGCTCGCCCTGGAGTGCATTCGGAATCGGGTCTTCACCAGCAAGTCAGACGTGTGGGCCTTCGGTGTGACCATCTGGGAACTGCTGACCTTTGGCCAGAGACCCCACGAAAACATTCCCGCCAAGGATATACCCGATCTCATTGAGGTGGGTCTAAAACTGGAGCAACCGGAGATCTGCTCGCTGGATATCTACTGCACCCTGCTCTCCTGCTGGCATCTGGATGCTGCCATGCGTCCGAGCTTTAAGCACTTGACCACGGTGTTTGCTGAGTTCGCCCGAGATCCGGGTCGATATCTGGCCATTCCCGGTGACAAGTTCACCCGACTGCCGGCTTACACGAGTCAGGATGAGAAGGATTTGATAAGGAAGCTTGCCCCAACCACCGATGGCTCGGAGGCCATGGTCGAAGCGGATGACTATTTGCAGCCGAAGGTGCAGCCGGGTCCCAGTCACCGGACAGATGGCACCGACGAGATTCCCAAGCTGAACCGATACTGCAAGGATCCCAGCAATAAGAACTCCTCCGGCGGTGACGATGAGACTGACTCGAGTGCCACACGAGAGGTGGGAGTGGGTAACCTGCGACTGGATCTGCCAGTGGATGAGGACGACTACCTGATGCCCACATGCCAGCCAGGACCCAATCACAACAACAATACCATCAATCCCAATCACAATAACATGGCAGCGGCAGCTGCAGCGGCGGCAATTGGAGCCACCGCTGGCTACATGGATCTCATCGGAGTTCCAGTAAGCGTGGACAATCCAGAGTATCTCCTCAATGCCCAGACACTGGGAGCGACGACGGAACCCATTACCCAGACCATTGGCATACCGGTGCCGGGCATGGAGGTGATGGAGGTCAAGGTACCGATGCCGGGCAGCGAGCCAACCAGCTCCGACCACGAGTACTACAACGACACGCAGCGGGAGCTGCAGCCGCTGCAACGCAACCGGAACACGGAGACGAGGGTGTAGCCTCCAGCAGGAGGAGATGAATCTTGCCAAGTGCCTTTTGGAAGCCATGCGGAGATGCCGAAGCCTTAGCAGGCTGTTATCATAGATAAGAGCCCCTGAGCCTGTACATTACTACCGATATTATCCCAATCTCTAGCGTACTTAGCCAGTTTCCGCGTCTTTGTGTATACTTTTATACTGTCAGGGGAGTTGTGAGCCTCTCCTATATATGTCCTAGCCCCCTTTTAGTCCCCTGAGATGTAGTCAGCAGGAGTGGTCCTGCACTTGTAGATTCCATGTAATTACGAGAACAAAACACCGATAGTGCATTTCTTAGACGCCCCCGCATTGCGCAGAGCCTGGGGATTGGATCTCCAGTAGATCCAGGTCCAGCTGCAAGGGAGGGCGTGCCTATGTCATGAATATACTTCTTGTACTTGTAGCTTACCCTTAGCCACTAGCCGTAGCGCCTAGTTTCCAACTGTGATATATTTTGTAGGGATCGACCTAAGGACTCTTAACACGATGAACAAATCGAACGACTCGACACACACATCAACAAAGTACAGAAAATAGTAGAAAAGGATTAACTAATTATCGATCTTATGCAATTTAGGCCTAGTTTCAAATCCCATTCGATTGAGAGAGCAAAAAACAAATCAAATCCCGAGCGTGCCATGCATCGAGCGATGCAAATCTCCTAAAGATTTCGAATATTTTGTTTGGCACAATAGCGTTTAAGCGAATGCCTAGGCGATATGTTACTGATCAAAGATATATAATTAATTCACACACACAACAATTAATACATATAGAATGTACGATCTATGTAATACTTATACACGTGTAGATTTGCCAAGTTATGCAGTTAAGCATTATATGTTAATTTAATTTAAATCTAGTTACGTATATGTATATGAGTATATATTAAATAAAAATATTTTACAATAAATTTGAAGATTCTTTTTAATGGGATGGTAAGAAAAAGAGGACAAAAACACAATAAAAGTGTTTCAATCAATAGTTCAATTAAGAAATTTTAGAAATTATTTAAGAACAATAAATGAAGCTGGAAGTTTTTATAAAACCTTTAAAACATTTTAAAGTATATATTTTTAAGTTCACGAAAAGAAAATGTACGGTTGTATAGTTTATTCAAAATAAATCTTTCTCACAGTTCACTTACATTTTTTGTGTAAATCACAGTTTTAAAAAAATCGTAACATTGTTAAAAATTCATTAATTTTAATTTGGAAAACTGTTCTATGCAAGTTGTTCTTAGATTGATAGATCTGCATACTGCGTTTAAAATTTAAAAAAATTGAAAATTTTGCCAATTTTTGACCATTATAAAAATTTCAAAAATTGGTCAAAAATTTGTTGTCCTCAAACATTAATAGCACGACTCGCCTTTTGATGCTGATCAAGAATATATATGATATATAGGGTCGGAAATGGCTGCTTTACGAATTATCACCAAGCAACTTGTTAAATTATAGCAACTATAGTTCAATGTTTTAATATGATAATTTTTTGTGTAAATCACAGTTTTGAAAATACCATAACATGGTCAAAAATGCCTTAATTTTAATTCGGAAAGCTGTTCTATGCTTGCTTTATTAGGTTAAAAAATCTGCATACTGCGTTTAAACTTTAAAAAAATTGATGAAGAATTATCACAAAGATGATGTTAAATTATAGCAACTATAGTTTAATGTTTTCATATGATAATTTTTTATGTAAATCAAAGTTTTAAAAATATCATAGAATGGTAAAGAATGCATTAATTGTAATATGGAAAGCTTTTCTTTGCTAGTTTATATAAGGTTAATAAATCTGCATATCAGCAAATCTGCGTTTAAAATTTAAAAAAAATTGATGAAGAATTATTACTAAGATTATGTTAAATTATAGCAACTATAGTTTAATGTTTTCACATTATAACTTACTTGATACTACTGGGACATAAAAGTCGGTGGAATGGATATATTTGATGTATTCTTGGAAGCCATCTTGACGGCCAAAGAGCGAACCTTGTTCCTGTGGCAATTAAGCTGAGGCTGCCATCTATTGGTTATTCCCTCAACCAAGCTTAACAGCGCCATCTGTATGTAATAAAATGCACTGCAAGCTCTGGTTCAGAACTATGAGACCGAAATCTGGCCACTTTTAGCTCATTTCCGGTGTAGAAGTGTCATCTGGGGGGTGTCAGCTCATGTCACTATATTTCCCGTTGAAAATGCCAATTTTTCCATTTCCCAAATAAGTAACAAAATCTCCATTAGTTACACGTATTTTGTGGCTTTATTTAAATACTCAATTGAGACAATTCGAATGGTTGGTTGTTCTATAGAGGGCGTGGTCGCAAAACTGTACTTTGTTGAATATATATAACTATATTTGCATGTAATTGGATTCGTATTTGAATTGGTGTAGACTATTTAGATGTCGGTTCGTATATATTGAAAAAGTTATTCCATAGTTTACATTCATAAAAGTTCAATTACATCAATTATGTGTTCTACAAAACTATTTTCGCTGCGATCTCGAGAGTTAATGTTACGGCTACCATAGTTCTCCCTTTAATAATTTAATGGAACAACTCAAGGTCCTTAGCAGTAGGTCTGTGTTATACATCTATATATAATGCATTAAAGTACGCTTAGGGAAAACAATATTCGACTTAAACGCAAGGCTAATAAACAAAATCAGTGCTGGGCTCTTGGCTCTCTAAATGCTAAATAATACGCACAACTGTGTGTGTGAGTGTGTGGGTTTGTGTCCAGTGCCAGCAAACTTAATTAATAAACATTAAATAACATTTGGATTTAGATTCAGAACTTACATTCGCAGCGAAGGTTAAAGACATCTCCGATCTCTTCTTCCTGGAGTGGCAGCTAGAAATCCGATATATATAATATATAGTTTCTGGGGGGAATGAAGCAGAATCACTCTCTCTTTCTCCATATTTTTTCGCTTAAACTTAATTTTAGAGGAAAGTGTTCTATAGGATGTAAGCTCTCCTTTCCCCCACCACCAATTCGAGCCACTCCACCATCATCATCTTGAATTAACCCCCTCGAGCGGCAATTAGCGCTTGCAACGCACATGGATTAGGCGCCCGCGTCGCAGAGGGACAGCACCGGAACCGGAGACAGAGGCCGCAGCCGTGGCAGCCTGAGCCTCAGCTGGAGCAGGGCCCAGGGCCAGAGCAGCCAGTGGAGCTGCCTCCAGGTAGGAGGGGGCTGTAGCTGGAGCTGGTGCCGGAGCCAGAGCCTATCACATTTGAACGCGCCGCGCCAGTAGATATTCGGAGAACTGCTGACCGCCCACGCTGGCCTCGATGGTGAAGCCGGCATTGAGGAGCCGCGTGAGCACCTGCACCGAGTTCAGCTTGCAGTAGCCATTCAGCGGGAAGCGAATGATTTGCCCCCAGTCGCCCTGGTTCCAGGAAACGCCGCTGCGACTCGACTGTGTCGCCTGGCTGGCCTCCGGGAAGAGCTCGTCGAGCAGTGCCCGCTCCGCCGATAGCATTATGCGTTCGCCCAGATCCGGTGAGATGTGCAGCGCCACGACCTCGTAATTGCACTCCGGCGACGCACTCGTCCGCGGGCTTGTCTTGATGTGGCGCGCCGGCGGAGTGGGAGTGGGTGGCGCCACCAAATAGTTGCCATTACGAACGCGATCCTTGCGCATGCTCTCCAGCTGCTTAATCATCGCTGCAGGCGTCAGTCGGAGTTGGAGATGCCAGTGGAGTAGGAGATGCCAGGGGAGGCAGACAAGAAAGGGGAGAAGAGCAAATTAGCGGGCTATAAACGCTGGTGGCCATAACGAGGGCCAGTGTATGCACAGGGGAAAAATTATAGCTACCAATTCCATTAATATAGCTATAATTTTTCACTAATCTCTGTGAGATACTTACGCTCCACTTCATAGTAGCGCGCCTCCTCCAGCAGCAGCTCCAAGTCCGGAAAGTCCTCGGCAATCAGAAGTCTTGAGTTTCTCATAAAGTTCAGAATGTGACGGAACATTCCACCATCGCGATCGATGAAGTAATGCTGCTTCAGCGAATCAAGAACGATGGGTATCTGGCCATTGAATAGTTTGGCCAGCTTCGACTCCGGGTACTTGGTGAGCGTCTCCAGGGAGCTGGTATAAATGGTACCGCCCACATCGATGTGCACCGGCGCCGTGTACCGGGAGGCGGCTGCCACGCATGGTATCCCAGTGATGGGCTTGTGGTTGCCGTGCAAATAGGAACTGGCCCCCGCCGATCCGGCACCGCCGGCGGCAGCAGCAGCTGCCACGGCCGCAGCGGCCGCCGCCGCCCCTGGCAGCCCCAAGGGGGTCACTGAGGAACTGGCGGGCGGCGTCGGCGTGGGCGAAGAGGAGTTTGAGATCGTTGGCGAGACGGTGGGCGAAGCGCTGCAGGCGAAAGCGGAAACGGAATGCACAATGAGATGGGCGGTGACAATAAAGGGGTTGTTTGGTTTATTTGTGGCAACAGGGGACCTGACATTTTATTGTATAAGAAATGACCTCCCTTTAGCATATGACTTTTGATTTGAAATTAATCATATATACATATCTCTTTCTTTATAATACTTTTTGTTAGATTACTTGAAAGATAATATGAAGGAAATAATATTGGTATTTATTTTTATTGTATTATGGCAATACACATTATTACACACTCTTAAGTATGTTTTTATGGCATGGCCCAAGGACTTACCTGATTTTAATGTCGCTTCTGGCATAAATGCGGCCCGTGGAGGACAAGTCGCGTGGCTCCAGGGCCTTGACATCTCTTTCGCGCTCTCGATCCATATCGCATTTTTTCCTGCAATAAAATCGGTATTCAATATTTGCTTAATTAATTAATTAATTGGTATAACGATTATCTGGTATGAGCCAGGCCAGACACCACAAGGCTAATCATGAGAACCGATTGAGCCTCTTAACCAAAATTGGAAAATGACTTGACTCTGATTACGGACAGCAACAACAACGATGAAGGACAGCAAACGTGACAACGAAAATATCGCTTACAGCTCTCCACAGGGACCCATAAAAGTTCACAAACACAGCGAGATATAAAGGGATTTTAGGGGGAAATGTGGAGTCCAATACACTCAAAAAAAAAAAAAAATCTAACTGAAAGTCTCATAATCACATTTAAAAACTCGATACATAATCATTTTTACATATTAAAGATTTAAATAATTACAACTAGCTAGAAAGGCTCGGTTTTTGATGCTGATCAAGAATACATGAGATTTATAGGGTCGGAAATGACTCCTGTATAAATTATCACCAAGATGCTGTAATATTATGGGACTAACAGATCAATATTTTTTATGATCATTATTTTTTATCACTGCTTGTTAAATATCATAATAAGGTCAACAATGCATTAATTTACCAAATTTACTTAGTTAATATTCTCTTAGTGTATTTACATATATATGTATATGTATATGTTTCATATGGTGCATAGTCTTGGGCCGATTGTGTGGGAATATTTGGTTTTTCACTGCGTTTCCATCTCGGTTACGGGGCTTTGGGCCCTAAGCGATCGTCTCTCCGCGGCTTGGGTCGTCGTGGACAAGACAAAATCGCCAGCCTGCCAAACAGGGTCTGAACCGAGCCCGGGCGGCGGGCCATCGGTGCAGTTAATGTTAACGGCCATCGAGTGCATCGTTTTGGTTCGGCCTTTGGCCTCCGGGGCTTGCGAGTCGAATTTCACACGAAAATCACATTGTTTGGAGGCGCTGGAAATGTGGTTGCGTTGCTTTGCGAGGGTTGAGGGGATAGTGTGCGGCGGTGGGTGTGTGAGCATACGTCAATTATGACGTGTCACTTGTATGCGTGCCACATGGCGTATACGCAACGCGGCCACTGAGTGCCGTCTTAACAAAGTCAACACCAATTACCAAGTGAGCCGCACTCCGGCCACATCTAAATCTGCAAAGAGCAGGGTCAGAGCTAAGCCATATCAGCATCAGCATCAGCATCATCATCATCAGTATCAGTTTCCTGACTGCAGGACCACAAAATTAATAAAACTCAATCAGGCAGGGAGTAAGCCAACTGAAACGAGTTTTCCCACATGACAAATGTGCTCATGTTTTCTGCGCATTAGCCTGGCCAAACAGACAGACAGTTCTCTTGGGTTATGAATGCAACTAGAGGGGGTTTTTGGGTTGGAAAAGGTTGTTAAATATTATGGAGAAATATGTTACTAGCCAAGAGGATTTAAGAAATATAATTAATATGGATAGAGACATGAAAGTACCTTTAGTCTTGATTGAAAAATCTATAAGAATGAATCAATTTTACGGTAATCTAGGCTAACTTCCTTAAGGCATTCTTTTAATTACTATAACTAAATCTAAAAATCCCTGCACAATCTCATTTAATTCTTCCATATAAAAATAAACTTTAAAGCCCTTGGTTAACGCATAAAACTCTTTCTCGAAGAGCATCAAATCTTCGCCTTACCCTGCAATTCTTCGCTGGCCATGTAGCTAAACAAGTTTGCTTTTTTTAAATGTTTGGAGCCCTGCGGGCAAATGACTGGGGCTGGGTAATTACGATTTGATTAACTTTAACTACATGAACATTCAAATGCGAATGGGAATGGGAATGGGAATCCGCAAGGGGTGAGCAGGAGGTGGACATGAGGGTTCCAGTGCTGCGGAAAGGAAAAGCTGGTAAAAAAAGCACCAAATAGAGTCGCTGGAAGAGCAAATAAAAACCACAAGCAGTGCCACAAAAAAATTGCACAAAATAAATGCCTGCAAGGCGATTCTCATGGCAGCCATGAACCAAGCAACAGAAAGAGAGAGAGAGGTAGAAAAAGTGTGAAAGAGAGAGCTAGCTAGCTGGGGTTTTATTAATTTACGGCAATTATAAAGCGTGAGTAATGCGTTCAATCAAACATTGGCTATTCGTTTATGGGGATCTGGCTTAATGGTTTCCTGGCCAATAACCAAGGAATAAATCCCCCGCAATTCCAAACCCTCTTCCAAACCCCATGGCAAACGTCTCTTTGGCCACCTTCTACTCCTTGCTTCCTTTTGGCCACAGCTGCTGCTTCTGCTGCTGCTGCTGCTGTTGCTGTTGCTGCAGCAGTTGCAGCCACAAAATATGCAATGCCTGGAACTCCGGCTTGCCACACAAACAATTCAATTTCAATTGCTTTGCGGCCCACTTGAGCAGGTGCAACAACAACAACACAAGCAAGACACACACACACACACATACATATATATATATGCACCTGTATCTACTCTATACGTGTGTGTGTGTGTGGACACCCTGAGCTAACGGTATTGTATATAAGACAAGCACTGCAGTTTGCATCCTATTCTAGTCCATTATCGCCTGCGGCGGTATCTTTTCTATGCCATCTAGTAGCAGGACCAGCAAGGAGCGGGTTAGGGGGAGCAACATGGTGGGTTAAGGAAGGGGGGTTAGCAGGGAGCAGGGAGCAGGGCAAGGCTGCCGGCAGGGCGTAAAAAGGGGGATGGTGGAGCTGGTGGAGTTCTTCGCAGCGCCTTTGGTTACACTTGAGATGAGGCTACAGAGATGAGCGCGTGATAAGCTGGTAAAGATATATCAGCTAAATACATACTTTATATATTTTTAATACTTTTACCGAACTAAAAACAATTAGGTAATAAGATGTATTAAGTGGAATAGTAAGCTATTAAAGAGAAGAGAGAAAAATTGCAACTAACTTATAGGAATTTTCTCAACTAATAACAAATAATAAGATATATGTTATTTGAATAAAACCACAAAGATCAATGGAATTTTTTACACACAAAAGTAATTTCTAATTTCTTTTATTAACAACTAGCATTCCCCGTGAATCACGTGCGCATCTCTACCCAATCTGAATTTTGAAGAGTTGAGTTGCCTTTGCCATAGTCATATTTGTCAAGCGACTTCCCTTCGTTGCCCTCGCCAGGGAATACCGACATTCTGGCATCCCGACATCCTGCATTCGGCCTTTCTGTTGGCCATCATTTGACATCTTTCTGTGGCGCCATACTGCTTTTAATGGCAATGCCATTAACTCTTAACTCTTGGCATTGCACATTTGTCGAAGGCGCAGCATTGAGGAGCAGCAGGAGGAGGCGTTTGAGTCCTCCTTCGAGGAGTTCAATTTGAGCAGAGTTTCATGTTTCAGTCCCGCACATGTTTACCATTGGCCAGAGCGGGACCGATGGCTGTGAGCTTATTAGTTTGCCATTGTTGAGATTGTGAGTTTGGAGCTGAATATCAGGTTTCCTAGACCAAAGTCCCAGGGTCTGGGATGATGCAGCCTGCCCTTGGGCGAAACCATTTTCCAAAAAGGAATTATGGACGAAACTGGCCGTTGGCACATGCTCAATGTTCGAGTGTTGGGAGGATTTCTAGGACCTCATACTCTTTCTCTGCCCCTGTCTTGTCCATTCCAGTTCCAATGGCAGCTCTTCGTTCTCGGGGCCTGACTAGATTTCTACCTCCCCCTTCCAAAAACAGGACAAAAGCGAAAACAAAAGCCAAGAAATGAGCTAAAGTGCACACCACACCGGCACACTCTCAACACACACACACACACACCCACTGAGATAGCGACACACACCTAGGCAGAGAGCATCAGACGTTGACGACTGCGACGCTGACTATGTAACCCCAGAAAATGTCCTGCGGCCAGCCAACCTTCCGCACACAAAGGCCAGACCAGACAGCCCGAGTGTCCTGGTTGCCAGATGCACTTTGAAAAATAAGTAAATATAATAAATAAAATCTATGAAAGCTAAGAAAGGGACAGAGTCCATTCTGAATAGTCTTCGTTTGAGGTACAAACGTTACAAGTTCTATAAGAAAGTCTTTATTTAAGTATTGATTCGATAACTTCCAAAAACAAGTATTTTTTTCAGTAAATAAATATATAATTAGTTAAATAATCTTACATTAAGAAACCTTTTTTAGGGTTTTCAAGTATTATGTCCTTACTTTTTTGACTTACTTCCTTCGAAACCCGAATAATAAATGGCTACTTAATTACCTATATTTCTTTCTGGTCTCCTATCTAAATTTCATAACAATTTCTTTCAGTGTATAAAGAGCAGGCCAGCTAGCTAGTGGGAGTGAGCGAGAGGACTAGCAAAAAAGGGCAAAAGCTGACTAGGCCCGCGGCGATCGTTTGGAATTAGTGCGGAAATCATGGATGGATACGAAACGAAACCAAGCAAGGAAAGCGAGCCAAGCCAAGCCAAGGAGCACGGAGCATGGAGCACGGAATCCGGGCGGAACTAGGGTCCAAAGGACTAACCAAAGGTGGGGGCTTATTCATCACCACCGCACATTCCGGGGGTGGGGAGGGGGAGGTGAGGGGATTTCCCCGGAATGTAATCCACTGGGGACTCTGCATGAGCGAGTGCCCACTGTACTCGGGCAAGGTGGGATTGAAACTTGGGTTTGCTCCAGCTCCACTCCCCATCCCTTTCCTTTCCTTTTCAGTGGGCGGCTGCTTCCTTCGGGGCTTCTCGTACGAAGGATCCCAGTGTGTGTGTGCATGTGTGTGTGTGTGTGTGTGTGTGTGTGGTGCCTCCTCATTCATTTATCCTTGCAATGCTGAGGGCAACGAGAGCAACAGCAGCAGCAGCAGCAACAACAAAGGAGCGGGAACATAGCCAGTAACCGCAAGGATACACCCACCCAGTCCACAGTCTATAGTCCGCAGTGCTCAGTCCGACCCAGGATCTGAAGGATAAGGGTAAGGATGCGGACGGGTGGCGAAACCCAAGCCGCTGCAGGCGCAAACTTTTGCGATTGGTAGGTAAGTCTAGTCGTGTCCGTTCTGGCTTTGGCTTATACCCAGGCGAGGGCCATGTGTGTGCCGTGCCGCCTGCATTTAAAGATATCATACCTAAGTTGGTCCCCGTCTCATGGCCCCAAAGGCTCCCCAGGCGTATCCAGCTCCCGCTCCAGCTTCAGCTCGCAAAACAAAACAGAGAGCAGAGCACACCCACAACATACACAGCTCGCTTACAAAATAAAAAGCATAAAAATAGGAATATAAAAAAGCAAAACGAAAGAAAGTTTTCGAGGCAAAATCTTATCTCAATTTTAAAACGCCGCCGGCTCAAACGCCAACTGTGACGTCGACTGCACTGCTCTCTGGATTCACCTCGAAAGTTAATACGAAAACATTCGGGGCGTAGAAGATTTATCAAACTGCAACACTTGCAGCAAAAGATTATATTTGGCGCAGGACGAGGCAAAGGGGACGGAGACGGAGACGTAGACGGAGGACCTCCAGACGTGGGGCTGGAGGATTCCAATTAGACAAGAAAAAGAAAGCAAACTTGCGACTCCGGGGAGCTTCAGATAAGGGAATAGGGGGGAGTGGGCTTGTGTACATAGCCAAGACAAACATAAAGTAAACACACACGCTGCCAGAGAGAGGGAAAGAGGAAAAATCTGCAAAATGTCCTGCGGACAAGTTGAGAAGAATCCAAAGCTCAAGGCGATTCTGGGCTGAAGCAAAATGGAAGGCTAGCAGAGATGAGGCCAGGGCAGCTGCTGCCTTGGCCTGGCCCGAAGTCGACGTCGTCGTCGTCTTGTTTTCGTTTCGCAGTTGGCCAAAACCGAAATCAAAACGCTGATGAGCAGGCAAATGAAAAACTTTTGCCGGCCAGTTGCAGGAGGAGTCGTCTCAGTCGGTCCAAGTAAAACACAAAAAGCCAAAAACTAGGAGGAGGACTCCAAAACTCCTTTACCAAGCCGGCACTCCTGGCATCCCGTTGTTCCACATCCCGCTATCCCGGCGTCCCGCCAACCAACTTCTGCGTCGACGTCGTCTTTAGCCAAAGGGTCCAAATGGAGCTGGAGCTGCGGCATATGGGAAATCAGTCCAGGATCCTCCCGCCTCGCCTGCTGCTGCTCCTGCTGCTGCTCCGCTCTTGCCACGAAAATTGTTAGCCAAAGTTGCAGAATGTGTGCGCCATGGCAAATTGTACAAATATATGCGATATATATATGAATATATACGGGGGAATACGGCCCGGACTGGGGTCTCTCTCTGTGTGTGTGTGTATGTGGGCGTGAAGGGAAGTCTGGCAGAAGTTGAGTGAGTAACTGGAGTCCCGGCATACACTGGAGCAGCAGATATTAAAACGCTGCGAGGCTTTCAAAAATAAACTTTGAAAAATTTATTAGAAAATATTAAATAAAAACGACGATTGCGCTGCATATGGCTCACTCACTCAGTCGGCAGGATGAGGAGGGGAAGGAAGGAGCAGCAGCAAGGCTTCGGAGCTACATATGCAGAGCAAACATTCCTCAGCCAACTCGGGGAAAAACTGTAGCAACGGCAAGCGGCAACAACGACAAGGAAAATATAAACATATGCAGGATAAATCTACGAGGAGTGTAGGAGTGTGTTGTGTCCTTACCTACAAATTCGAAAATTGAATTGAAAGTCAAAAGCGCAAAGGATGAGCTTGGCTTGGCATGGGTAAGTGGCCGTAAAAGAAAACATTGCGCATACGCAGCGTGGTTCGGTATGGGGGAGCTGTAGGAGTGCCTCTGTGATTGGATGTGCTACTTAATCAAGTGTACATAATAATTAACAGCCATGATTCCACTCGAATGGTGCTGAAACAATGGGCTTACGAAAGGGAAGGGAACTGGAAATGGTTACCGGAAAACCCGTTGCCACAAAACCCATTCAGGGGCGAGTCCTGCTATTGCCACTGCAACTGGCAGCGGCAGACAATGCACCCAGCCTAATTGGTGCAATTTGCGTGTGCATATCGCAGCCAATACCAGCAACAACACACCGACAACATCAGCAGCAGCAGCAGCAGCAGCAGGAGGAACAGACCCGTCAACAGCAGATGCAACACAAAAGCAACTGAGGCAAAGTCCACTCGCCGTTGCAGGTGCATTTTTGGGCAAAGAATCGGTTTCGGTTGGGATAATCCAGGGTATGGAGTTCAGGGGATTAGGCAGGGGATTTCGAATATGAGTAGATTTTGGGACAAGGTAAGGTAAGGTTACAATTGCCCGAGATAAATATATTATACTTCAGGGGAAGTGTAAGTGGTAAAGATATGTTTTCGATTTAAAGATTTATATACAATTTTACTATTACTAAGAAATCGTACAAAGAAAAGTGCACAGGCTTGAAGAAGCTATAACACTCCAAAATTTAAATAATGATATACTGAACTAAAATAAAAGAATACTTTTATAAACTAATAACCTCTAATACCCTTACTACAAAACGTTATGCATTATTTACCATTTGATTTCTTTTATGAGCCACTAAGAATTTAAACACACTCCTATAGATACTCCCCATAAATCATTCACTTAAGCCAAGTGCTTATTATTAACCAAGTTACGCGATAAACCAAATTCGTACCCCTTTTGGAAAATGGGCCAAAACGCGCACTGTTGGTGGCAAATTGGCAGAGCGCAATGTTGATGCTGGTAATGATGCAGAATTGCAACTTAATTAACACACAGCGTGTTAAGAGCTTTTGTGCCACAGTCTCAGCCCCAGAATGCCAATCGGCATTCGAATGCAGCTGCAGCTGCAGCCACTGAGGCCTTTGACTATTGGCTCGTAATGGAAATCACTTTGCCGCCGGTTGCCGGTTAACAGGCAGCAACTTTGCCAAATGCCAAACAGTAGCAGGTATAGGCCGTAAATGTGGATGTAAATGTGAGTGCGAAGCCAAGTAGCTGGTGCTTGCATCCGCTGAACGAAAACAAATTAACTCGGAGGGGGAAGCGGGCAGGTCTGAGCCTCAGTCTGAGTCTGAGTGTGAGGGATCCTGACAATGAGCGGCTGGAGGAATCGCGTAGCCAAACAGACAAACAAACAAGACTTTGACTCCGCCTCCTGTGCGGGTATTCGCCTTGTGTCTGGCATGCGAAAAAAATAAACGAGGCGAAAAAAGAGCGGGAGATAAACCCGAACCAAAACCAGTTGCTTCCTCACGAAGGTCGCCTGCCACTTCTTTGGCTTTGCCTGCTGGTTTCCCCATTTGAATACAATTTTTCAGACTGCAGCAGCTCTCTAGCTTTGAACTTTGCCTCGTGACTTGGCATCAGCTCAATGGACATTGGAATTTAGGGACAGACTAAGGGACAGTGGGACAAATTGGTGAAGTAAAGAATTCACGAACAGAGTGATTTAGGATTTACAGAAAACCTGCTATTTGGCGGACTCAGGGATTCCTTGATTTAAGGTCCTGCAAAGGGAAAACACCGGACAACTCTCATGGACACAGATTCACCGATTCGCTTGCTAAACAAAAATTTGTTGTTCGACTATGCCATATAGATGTATGTATGTATGTATGTTTGTGTTTGGCATTTGGCCCGGGGGTCATCTTTTGGCCGCTTAGTTTTCGACCAGCCACAATACAACCAACCGGTCATGCCCCCTCCTTCGACCTCGGCACCAGGCACCATCGTATTTTATAGCCTTTAAGGTAGAAAAAATAATGCGACTCGTTCTCGTCTGCACACATAACTCAGCCGGGGGCTAAGGTTGCCCAAAAACGCTCGAGGCGCATTTTGTATGATTTTTTCTCTCAATCCCCCGGTCCCAGTCGGAGCAGTCCCAGTCTCACTACGGAGCAATCCCAGTTCCCTTGCCTCGGTTACTTTTCTTACTTTTGTTTATTTCTCCTTTGGTGCGGGCACAGAGCACTTGAGGCGCATAATTTTTTTCTTCTTTTGTACATTTTTTTTTTTAAACAGTCTTCGTTTATGGCGCACAATTTCTGACTTGGCATGTGGGAGAGACGAAAATCAGTTGCCGGAGGCCTTTTTGGCCAAAACCAAACCGAACGAAGCAAAGGGAGAGAGGGAGGGAAGGATCGGGTGGGCCTGCAACTCGGACTCTCCACTGTCGATGCTGTGTGTTGTGTGTCAAAAATTCGTTTATTACAGAATCTTTTTTTAAACTAATTTATTGGCCAGCTCCGAGGCTGGCAGGGATTTGGGGCATTTTGCAAATGAAAAGTTTTCGTTTTTGGGCTTACCGTTTGGGGCAGGAGGAATCCACCGTCAATGGCGATCGTTGATCCAATGCAACAAACGGAGTTCTGTTTTTTTTTTATTATTGGAAAGAGAAAATAATAAAAGAGACATTAGTTTGATGATTGTGATTGGAGATTAAGTGTTAATGTGTAGTTTTAAGATAGGTTTTAATTTTGATTGATTTATTATAGCTTTAATCTTAATATGGAGTATTTCTTTGGTTTTATAAAAAATTATTGACGTTAACAATAAAACTATTTAAATACGAAATTAAAGTCAGAAGGAAAAATTATCAAACCTGTTTGAATGAACAATGTAATTGATTAATTCTTGACTATTTATAAAGATTTCTGAATAAATAAGAGTTTTCTTATAACTCTTAACTTCTTTAATTATAATTGTATTTAATTCCAAATAATAGAAACTTTATAAAAGTTGTAGTAAACTAATAAATACTTTACAAAATATATTTTTATAAATAAAAAACCATTTATATCTCTTTTGAAGAATTAATATATATAGAAAATAAGAGACCCTTTATCTTTCAAAGAACTCACAAAAAGGTTGGTATATTTAGGAAATGCACTTTAACTCTTTTTAATTACAACGCGCGCGTAGATAAATAATCTCTGTGTGTGTGTGTTTTTTTTTCACGGGAAATCTGCTATTGAGTTTCCTAGCAGATCAGCTTCAACTAAGCCTCGCTACGATGCAAAATTCAAAAACTGAGCGCGCGCGCTAACTGTTAACGGAGTGCTTCAAGTGTTTACTTCCGTTTCCGCTTGCTCGTTCAGTGTGTTTTCCCCGTTAGACCGCAGAGTGTTGCCTACTTTTAAGCGCTCGCAATTTACCTCACTTGCATTCGCGTCGAAAGTTGGCCGAGAACTAATTTTTCAGCCGAGCTTCAAGAAACTGAATCTCCTGATGGATGTGGATGGCTCCGATGTTCGATGTTGTGCCTCGTTCGAGGTTGCAGCTCGATGTTATTGCTCGATGTTGCGCACCCGTGTGCGGGTGGAGTTCGTTGCTGGCGTCTTCTGTGTTGAGGCGACGACCTTGAGAGAGAGCAGCCGGAGAGAGCGCCAGAGAGCTGCGTTTGTTGTTTAGCTGCTGCTTGGCTTTCGCACCATATGATGCTGTGTATGTGTGTGTGAGTGTGTGTCGGCGTGCCTCTCTATGTGTGCGAGTGTAAGTGTGGGGGCTGCGTGTGAACGTTTAATAGTCTATTTCCGGTTTAAGTGCTCCGTTGTTGCAGTTGTTCGCAGTTGCTGTTGTTGTTGTTGCTGGTTGCAACTAAGCTGCCGCAATTAACATTGTAACTGTAAATAGAACAATTGGCTTTGGCTAAAATGCTTTCGCTTGGCTTATAAATCGATGCATTTAATTAGAGCTGGTACACTCACAGAGCAAATCGAAAATTTAATGAGGTTTACTGGGTATTGAGGGTCTAGGGTTTTTATTTTTAATTTTTGGAAAATCATAAAAATATGTAAGCCCACTGAATTTGTTTATATATTTTTGAATAAAATATAGTTAAAATTGTTAAATCGTAACATAAAAATTAAGCTAATTTTTCGAAAAGTTCCCTCTTTTCAAATAATATAGAAATTTTTTCTTGGTTCGAGGAACCCCTTGAATTAAACAGAATAATATAAAGACCCATAATATTGTAAACATTTGTACAATCTTTTTTTTTTTTAAAAAGCAAAGTATTCGTATTTATTAACAATACATTTTTTAAACTTATAAGTTATATTATTCTTAGCAGAAGAAATATATATTTATCAGACTGGTCCCAAAATTATTTAATTCCTCAAATTCCAATAGATATATCTTCCTCTAAATTAACTTTTTCAAGTGTAGATTGAATTCCAAGCCAGACATTGCATTAATCACGCTGGGAACATCTCTATATATATGGCCGATATTCTATAATTGTAAATATCAAAGCCTGTGTGTGTTTTTGCTGCCCTTGGCGAAGGTTGTGTGCGGGTGTATGGGTGCATGTACACCTAACACCCGCCAGTTGTGCCCCGCGTCCGTTTCGAACTGTATTTGTGTGTGTGTGTGTGTGTGTGTGTGCCAATGTGCGTGTTTGTGTTAATGACAAAGCATAGAACGCTGCTGCCGGCGGCCAAACGAAATGAAACTTTGTGCGGCATCAGCTCCAGAGACTTTGAAGAAGAAGAACCAGCGGCACGAAGGCAGCAGCGACAGCGACAGCGGCAGCGGCAGAAGCATCGGCGGTACGAAGAGCGGGGCAAACTGCCAACGGAGTGAAGCAAAGGCAGAGCTGAGCAGAGCAGAGCCTGAGCAGAGCCTGAGCCGGGCTGAAGCGCCGCCGGGCATCCGACGAGCGACTGCGACGGAGGCAGCTGAAATATTTTGTTGCCCGGCGGCAATGCAAAGAAAAACTTGTGATAAATACGCCTCGGGACGTGTTTCAAAACACAAGCGGGAAAGAGAATCATACACTTGGAATGACAATTGTCTTGAAAGAATCAAAAACTCATAAAAATTAAGTCAAAGATTTATAACTTGGAAATATAAAGGTAACATTTACAAAGCTAGAAGTCAAAGTGTTAAAAAAGGAGTCATTACGGACCATATATCATTTCAGATCATATATATTCTTGATCAGCATCAAAAGCCGAATCAAAAAAAGGCAAGTTTGAGAGAAGGATAAAGTTGGAACATTTTTTCAATTTTTTTTCTTTTTCAAAATAAAAATGTTAATTACAGTATGAGGATTTGAACACTAACACAGAAAAAAACAATCCGCATTGAAATTAATGCGCTTTTGGCGATTTAAAATTCGACCTCCTGAAAATTTTGCAAACTCTATGGATATAAAAAAAAATCGACTTTCCGACATAAAAAAATTTTAAAAATTAATATTTTATTTCAATAATATTATTATAATTTTATTCCTAGGGCTCCATTTTTTCTCCAATAATTAGGAAAGTGAAATTACGTTCTAAGCAAGGTATATTGGTTTTAAAAATCCTATTCAATTCATGACAAATATCTTTCAGATGACAAATATTTTAGATTTACTCTGCTTTGTTTTTAGTGCCGAAAGAGAGAAAAGATAGATTCAGAGAGAGAGAGAGAGAGAAAACCCAGTACAGTGAGGCCTGCAGTTAGGCAGCTGTAATTAAAATGAGTGCGAACTTTCCACCCACTCGCTGCTAGGAAAACGCCTGCGGTGGGTGAAATAACACCAACCCCTCTCCTCAAACCCTCCTCTAGAGAACCCACCCAAAACCCTCTTGCCGAGAGTTGTGCCGCATCATTTTTCATTGGCAATTGTTTCGGAATGCTCGCTTATTTGTCCCCCGGCCATATTCATTTTGGAGTATATGCGCCGCAATAATATTCCGCTATATTTGCCCGTTGCAGAAATTTCGATCTGGCTTAGAGAGGGTCGCGTGACACGACATGATACGATACTTTAGTGCAGAAACAAGGATTATTTTTTAAATACATAATTCTTATAATAATGCAAGGCCCGAAAATGCATTAAACAGACAAGTATATCTCAGTATTAAATGATATTTTTGGTGATATACCTAAAAATATGTTAAAGTACCGAAAACCTAATCCAAAACTAGAATAAAATATATTCTAAAACCTCAAAGAGGCTAACACAATGTGAAGTTCCTTATAAGCCAACTTATTTATATCTAAATGAATTCCTACTAATTTATGAAATTAGCCATTTTTGACCTCAATATATATATGAAAATGATCCCTGAAAACATTTAATCATTTTCCTTGGTGTGGACGCTCACTAACATTTCCATTTTTCATATTTATCAGCTTCCCTGCCTACGACGAGTGGAAATTGTTGCAATTTTATCGCTCATTTCACTCACTCAGAACACGCTTGGGGATGGAGTGGGAGTGAGTTTTTCCGAGGGGCTCTTTTATTGTTTCAAATGATGGTGAAGCGGGAGGAGCTGGGTGCTGGGAGCTGTGAGCTGGGCTCCTTTATTTTGACGTCGCTTTGCGTTTTTGCCATTTTAAATATTTTTTAATCACAAGCTCACGCACACAGAGAGTGGGGGGCAGAGTGGAGGGAGAGTCGTATTCAGTCACTCATATACGAACTCATACATATGGCAATACCAATATTTCAAGCCAATTTGCTGCAGTTAGCCGCCAGCGGACTGCCAACAAAATAATTCGACAAAATGTGTGCGGCGCGCTTTATGCTTTATTGTTTGGATCACCGCGGGGCAGAGGACGAGAGGCTTGCGGGGGAGTGTGGGTGCAGCTGCAGGACTCCCATATCCCACACACATACATTTATATATGTATATATTTATATATATCTGGAATATATATATATATACATATCTGATGGTAAAAACGAATGCTCTCTCTGTGGGATCAGCTCAGAAATCAGCGTCGACATCCAGCTCCAGCTCCGTTCCGTTTGTAATTATTTGTTGATGGCTTTTTAAAGTAGCCCGAGCGCCACGCCCCCCGCAGCAATGGGCTGCCGCCCATATTGCATATTGCATATTTATTCATGGCTTGTGCATTTGCTTGTCAATCAATACGAATACGAATATACGAATATATGTATATGGTACTGCAAACCGTCCAAAAACACACATATGCTGAGCATTTTCGCAGATTTTTTGTTGCTCCTTGCTGGCCGACACCATCACAGCCTCATCATTATTGTGATTTTTTATTATTACTATTATTTATGTGTGTGTTTGTGTGTATTTTAAAACATATACGTATTTGTACACATATATGTATATTTTTTATTATTAACGATACACGCTGTACGAACAAACAACAAAAACATACACCCATATGGGATGGGTGCATATACATATATGAAAAGGCTCATAAAATTCACAATGTCTGGCCGCAGGGCTTTTACTTAATGATGCCATTTTTGCCGCCGCAGCCAGAAATTCGCGTTAAATTTTTAACGCACGACCGAACTGCAGCATCCACATACATATATACATATATCAGCCATCAATTCAAGCATTCATCCATCCATCCATCCAGTTAACCATTCATCCATATGTGGCACACAACTTTACATTAACATTTGAATGGTAATCATGTAACAGCTCTGCTCTTCCGCCTCGTAAGAAAATATTTGTGTTGCGGCTTTAAAGAGCCAATATCGGTGGTTAATAGGTTTAACCATATAGAAAAGATTACGAAATTCACAGAGACGAGAATGAAGAATTTACGCAAATGGCTCTGAGTTGGTGATGGAGAAGAGAAAACTTCAAAATAAATTAACGTCTTCATAGATTTGCATTTCAAACTTTGACTTATATAAAAATAATGAGAAAATAGTACGATAAGGAGGGGAATGCCTTATTTAAATATTCTTTACCCAAAATATTCCATCAAACGATCTAAGAATAATAATAATTATTGAAACGATCCAGAAATACTTAAACTTTAAAAGTATATTAACCCCTACAACTACCTTTAAAAAAGAAAGCCCCTATATATTTTTCTGAGCTCATATTTAATTGCAAGACTTTATAAATATATATGATGTATGATACCCCTTCGGGTGAGAGAAAGCTGGACTTTTACTGGTGAGAGTGGCAATCATTTGATGTATAAATCTTAATTGCGGGGCACTTATCATCCTCATCGAATGGCGTAAAAAGGGGCGAGGCCAGGAGTCAATTGCCGACATCCTTTTGTCATTAGCAATGCCGTGACATTTGTCATTAACTGCATAATGATTCCTATGCAGTTTGGCTAACTTCCCCATACTCACACACACACACACACATTCGGAGTGTGTGTGCATAATTTTAATGATTTACAAACTAGCCCGTTGGCGTTTTTTAGCTCACCAACTGACAGTTGATATCCAAAGACAAGCAGAATGAGGGAAATATATA